CTTAAAGCAAAAACTCTTGCAGTAATCTGCCTGTAAAAAATTTATATAAATTTTATAGAGTCAGTTCGACAAGATAAATCGATTTAGCTATGTCAAACTGATCATATTTCTTAATGTCGGCAAACAGATCTCTTAATTTATAAACCTTTTATTTATGAATATTATATTGAGTATCTATTCTGAATCGTCTCTCCGAAGTGGGAAAGTGGGGTTTTATTCCGTATATTACATAATAATGTTAGATAGTCGGGCATACTATCACACCGTTCCGGTTTAAGGGTGCATAAACCATTCCACTTTCTCACCATAAAAAACAAAAAAAAAACCTGTAAACCGTCTGGACCACCGATGTGCAAGTAAATTAAGGAGGCTTAAAGCTCCTCATAAAATTTTAATTAAGTATTAAAATTAATTGTTATTGCAAAGTAGATAGCTTAATTAGAAACCGTTTATTCCTTTGATTGTCCTTTGTGCAATAGATTATGGTCGATTTGAAAATAGATGGTAAATAGATGGTGTATATATAAAAAAATTTTAGTTAAAAAAAATTATTTTGAGATAAAACTTCATATAAAAATAATTCTACAATTTTCAAATTCTGTAATTATAAATTAAATTCAAATAAAAAACAATTTACGGAAACACTAAAAAATATCTCTAAATATGAAAATATAAACATAAATTAAAGCGATTTATTAGAAAACATACGAGTTTTGCTAATATGAGATTTGCAAAAAGTTTTAATTTAAATATTTAAGAATTGCAACCTTGAGGACTTTTTGTTAGTTTTTGTTTTGTTTTTCTTTTTTTTTTTGGTTCACACAGCACATTGGGATAATTTTTAAATTTGGGAAAATAAAAGAGAACAGAAATTTACAAACATTGATGGAATCCTATTCAAAAAAAATAATTTATAGTAACCGATCAAATGTAAAAAATGTACCCTTCGTATCCTCTTGATGCAAAAAAAAAACATATATAAATTGCATAGTATGCGTCAAAGAAATGGTGGCAATATGGTAAACGCCATATTTTTTGACAGTAAACGTAAAGAAATGTTTGTTTTTACCGTTTGTTTTTACTTTTAATTTAAAAAAAAAAAAAGAAATACATGCAATGTGCAAATATTATCGTTTCTCCCCTGAATTTGAATTTCTTCAATTCTTAATAATTGATCAACACAAAACAATTGATCATCCTTTCAAGTACTAATTAAGTAATTATTTATATAGATCGACAAGCTCTTAGAGCCATTTTTTAATTTGATATATCATAATTGATACCAAACTTACCGCACTTGACTTAAATTATTGTGGTTATTGTTTTTCGCTATGTTGAAAATTAATTTGATTGATGTAATCTAATATTTCGATAATTAATACTTTTTCGATTTATTTATTGTGTTCTTGTGCACCGTTTATATTTTTAGTTCTTTTAGATGAATGATTAATATTATTTACTTTTTTTTATAAAATTGCTGTTTTTGTTTTTTTTTTTTGTTGTAAAATATATTCCTTTTTCTTTAAATAGTTTTCTTCATTATTCTTTACTACACAACAATAACAAATAACTTTTTCAGCTTTTTTTCTTCATTACTATTTGCGTAAAAAATAGCAAAATTTAAATATGTTAACTGTTTTTATTTAATTACACATAAAGCACTATAATTTATAATTAGTCTTTATAATATTTAAACTATAAATTATAAATTTTAATCATTTTCGTGTATATTCGTTGTAAAAAAAAATTAAATCTTTAATTTAAAATCCATATAAATCCAAATAAAATTAATTTTTTTACATTTATAATTAGTAAATATTTTTAAACTTTAATATAAAATTTTATTAAATAAACTCGCACAAACTTGTTGCCTTTATTTTGAATTGCAACTTCACCTCCCGTAACGACACGTCTTGTTTCACGTTGGTAATGAAACTAAATTTAATTTAAAAAATTAATCTATGTCTTGTCTCTTTGTTTACTCTCGCAGCCAGCAAATTTGTTGTTGTGTTTATGTCGTTGCCGCCATGCACAATGCTTTTTGGTTTTGCATGTGTGTACTTTACTGGGGGGCCGCCACCTGTGTGCGTTGTTGGTATTAAAATAAATTTGTGCAACGTGAGTGCCATTGTTATCAACAAAATACATAAAAAATATGTTTTTTTTTTACAAAGCAAAGTATTTACTCTTTCATTACTGCGTATCAGGAGTTTTGCTAAACTCCACTTTAAAAACCATTTATGGTTTCTCTTTAAACGTTTTGAAAAAATTTTAGCAAATAAGATTTGGCATACAGTGGAGCTAAAAAAAATATTTAAAAGAAAAATAACTAAAGTATATCAACGGAGTCTTGATGTGTCATTCATATAATGTATTATAAATTATAAATATTATATACTCGTAAACTATAGAAAAATTAAATCTTTATTATGAAATATTATAATATGAAGTTCTAACCATGAAGATAATAAAAACATTTTCTAATAAGAAATTATATAATAAGCAAGCATATACATATGTACATAGATATGTATATACAAAATAAACTACTTTAAAAGTTGTACAAAGTATATACAATATATAAAAAAAATTAAGAAATTATAAGAATATTAAGATTTAATAAAATTATAAAAATATTTTTTTTTATCGATTATTTTTTATGTTATAAGACGACAAATATATATTTATTCTTTATTAAGTTTTGTAGCACACCATCACTCACGTGTGTCTGTTCTTGAACACCATCATCCACTGGATTTTCCAGACAACCCATTTTAAATTAAGTTGAAATAATGTATTGTTTTTAATAGCAATACATTAAAATTGAAGATAGTTTTATAAATTAAGACAACTCTTCTTTCAGATTTTTTTTATTTAATCATAATTTGAATTGCATAATTTGAATTAACTGACAAAGATATCATAAAAAATTTCGGTAATAATCTTGTAAATTAATCAATAACTAACTATACATAAATGGCAGAATCAACTTTGGTACAGAGTCAAGTCTAAAATATATTGTGATATACATATGTTATAGTGTGATATCAACACATATACACATAAAAAACTCATACTCCCAAAATATAAGAAAATACTATCAATATTTTCTCCAAATATTATATTATCTAAAATATCGCACAATTAAGTTTTTTTGCAGTTCCTTTTGTAATCTATAATGTTTGAGCTCAACTTTATGAATTAAAGACATTGCCGACAACGATTCCAACAAATGCATTCCGAGTCTCATTTGAATTAAGAAAGGACCTGAAGTAAGATAAAGATTTTTTCCTGGATATCAAAGTCTATATAAGTCAGAAACAAGGACAAAATCTAAATACAGGGTGAGTAAGAAAACTCTTATTGTTTTCATCTTTTCTTCTTCATTTCATGCCAGAAAGTCAAAAATTATGAAGAAGGGAGTTCTTCATTATGAAAATAATGACTAATAACTAATATTTAAAGTCACTTTAATAGAAATTTTGGAATTTAACTAGCTAATATCTTATAAATAGCAAAGCTATTATCTTAATTGAAGGAAGCAATGCATTTTGATCGATATTCTTTCTAGTCTTTGCGTTCAAAGTTGTGGAGTAAATTGTTTTAGACGATATACCATGTAAATATACTTCCGATATAATCCTAATAACATTGTTGAGAAATACAGACCATAATAATATTATTAACTTATATTATTATGTATTATTTATTATATAACGGTAAATGTTTCTCTTGGAATTTTAACGATTAGAGATGGCAAAACGACACGGATTAAAAAATAATTAAAAAATAATTGAATAAATAGATTTCAGACTGAATTTGCGACATAATCCACGTAGAGCTCCTATAAGTTCATTGCTTTAAATAAAAAATAAGTACATTAATAAATAAATAAATAAATAAGTCAATTCATTAACTTATTTAAGTAGATAAATAAATAGATATTGATATTTAAAAAAAAGTATACATATTTAAAATAGTCTGAAATTAATACTACACTCTGCAACAATTTAATCGGGCATAAGTAAAGTAAATATTATAACACATTTAAAGTAACTCTCTATAAATAATTTGAGTACTATTTTGTCTTGTAATTTCAATGTAATATTAAAACGAGTACCTGGAATTCTATTCAAATTTATTATTCACAATATATATATTGAATTCACATATATATATTCGTGAATACATTTGTATTCTTTTTATCATAATAAAAATGTTTTAGCTAAGTAACGTATCAATATAACATATATTAAATTATTTATTTTAAATTATTTTAAAAATCAATTATTTTTTATTTTATTATTTTTTTACTAATACAAAATTATAATTAATTAAATATAGCAAAAATTAAAAGAAATTAAGGATTTATTACACAAAAAGAACGGACATATTCTAAACTAATAATTAATATAAAAATCATAATTATTTAATTAACATATTAATTTTATAAAAGGTAATATAAATTTAAATTGCGTATTACAATTTTAAATATTTATAATACATCCCTATACTCGTATAAAAAATACAAAAAACAAAATTGTCGACTTTATACAGATTTTTCATATCCTCAAGGCATATATTTAACTAATTATAATAAATTATAATTTTCTTTACATATGAAAGGTAAAAAAATTATTATGCAGCCTTTAAAAAATAAACTCCTACTCTGTCAAAATAAAATTTACTACTTTATTGGAAAAAATTGGCAAATTGGTAAAACGCAAACGATGACGACATCGATGCGTATAAGACATGAATCATTGATAAAAGCACAAACACGCGATGTCATTTCTTAAAACCAATTTCCTTTTTTCTTCTACTGCAGATAAATAACAAAATGAGGATATAACGTAAATATACATATATCATTCTTAATCAATATAACTATGTAGGAAAGTTTGATAAAATTCATTTCATGTGTACAAGGTATTAAATTTAAAATTACTTAATTATAAATGTTTTTCAATTTAAAAATATATTGATTAATTTTAGTTTATTTTCTTTTATTTTTTTGATGTAATTACCAAATTTCACGGTATGCATTAATTAACATATTGATTTCCTTTGTAGGATTATTGTTTTTAAATCGTATACAATCCTGAAATTCATTCAAATTTTCTATGCCTTGAGTAAACATTAATTCAATTGCTAATAATTGCTCATATACCATAATCCAGTCAACTCCGATTGTGTTTGCACATGTCTCTACTAACCAAAGGAATGAACGTGGAAGTTTAGTTTCTAATACTTTTTTCTGGGTATCCTTTATATTAGTCATATAACCCATCAACGTCCAGCAGTCCATACGAGATTTTAACAATATCATTGTATTTTCATCAGCAGCATTGCTTAAATATTCTTTAATTTGATTAATAGACATTGATGCTGTTTCTGTATTTTGGCACTTGTCTTCTTCATCATCGCTAACATCTTTAAATATATTTACTTTGTCAAAAACAGTACGTGGTTGATTTAAAGTTAGATTGTTAAATGGTTCCATATCTTCTTCATCGAATATGTCGAAAGAATGTTGTGATAACAAATCTGTATCAATCACCTTCGAATTTCCAAAAGAAACAAAAAGCAAATTTTACAATCAAATTTTACAAATTAAGTTAAGTTAATAATTTCATTAATAAGTTTGCATATAAACATGTTATAAATAAACAATGTAATTTACTTACATTATTAGAAATATGAATTAAGTCTCTGGAAGGTTGTTGCCGTTTTAGAGCTTCAGCTGCTAATTTTCTTTTATATAATTTTTTATAACCTTTCAACTCTGTAATAAATTCAAGGTCGACAGCTGGAGGTTCAGGTTCAATAGATTCATGCCATTCATTTTCATCAATATCGAAATCAACTTTATTTGCGTGTAATTTTGCAGGTCCACCACTTTTGCTAGCTACACGATACACACCTGCAAATTCTCGATGACCGGTACACGGCATGCTCAACATTTTCAGATTCATATTGTGAAAACCAAAGAATTCACGTAATGAATTCCCGCTCATGTAGGTATTTAATGAACGCTGGGTATGGTCAACCCGCATAAATTCAGGTATATTTATAGTTAAATTCGGTGATTTGGAATAGTGTAGCAATATTTGTTTAAAATAAGAGTGACCAGGTGTTAAGCTAGGAGCGAATTGTAATATTTCTACCTTTTCAACTGGTGCCGTGTTACATGTTTCCATAAATTTTTCAAATAATTTCTGCATAAAAGCCACCTTCACATTATGTTGTGTATCCTGTGGTATTAATGTATTTTGTTCATTTTGCCTGATTTGTTCCTCATTCATTTCTTCAAGTAACTGTGCTGTGCTTTGGCATTGCTTGAATTGTCGACAGAAATTTTTATTATATTGTGACAAAATCACCTTACGCATTTCAATGTACTCTAACCATTCACTCCAGACAAATAGCTTTGGATGAGATTTATGCAATGTGTTTAGATTTGCTAATTTATTATTTATATTTTTTGCTGATTTTGATATTAGTTTTTCTGTGTGTCCATCTAGACCAAACATTAACTTTAGTACAAATACTATGTAAGCCATTGCACGTGCCTCAAAGGATGCATAAACATAAGAGCCCCGTACTTTCATTTGTGGAGGCAGTAAATTTATTAAGCGTTCAACGTAAGTACCAACTTCAGGCGGTAAATTTAAATCTAGAACATAACGACATACAAGTTGTTTAATATTAGGAACTTTGAATTCACTTATATGTATAAATCTGGCTAATAATCCGACATGCTCACGAATTACCTAATAAAAGTAAACTGTTGATTAAGAAATTCATATAAAATATATTTTATTTACCTTGTCTGCATATATAAAAGGATATGCGTAGTAGCCGATATCACGTAGTATTGTTTTAATATTTCCTCTTAAATTATCTGGAAAAAATTGTATTATATTTTTACCACTTAAATGACCTTCTCCAACAAAACGTACTAAATCAGCCATTTGAATATCATCTTCAATAAGATTTAGAGCTATTGTTAAGATGGAATAAACATTCCTGATACTCATATTGTGCAGGACATGATCTCTGCGATGAGTTTTTCGTACAATTGGTCGAAGAGTATGGCATTTTAGTATTCCTTCGGCATCCTGCTCATGCTTCTTTATATGCTGTCCAGGCATCATCTGTTTTAATTGCTTTCTTGCACGAGCTGAGAATTTTAAACAAATTGCTTGAGTTGTACTCCCCGTTGATGAAGTACACGCTGATGAATGTGTGTATAAAGATGTTTCCTTTGAAGAAACTGAATACGCAGATTCATCCAATTTTCGCTAAAATTAAAAAGTATGGTTTAAGTAATTATTGAATGAAAAGTCTGGAAATAAGTAAAGTATAAGGAAGTGTTAAATTTCAAATAAATAATCCCAGTTATATCAACATATAGCGTAGTGAAAAAAGTTGCTCATAATATTTAAATTTATCAAAATCTTTTGTCAAAATGCTGCACCTGGCAAGTCAGAATGTAAGTAGCTAATTAAATGTACAATTATGTAGATCTTTTAATTTATAATTAAAGTCATCAAAACATAACCTATATTTCTAAAAACATTTTTCAGATTTTTTAATAAACTTTTGCTTATATTTAATTGCTAAATTTTTATTAATTTTTAATATATTTTAATATTTATTTAAACTAAAGCAAAAAACCGTAAAACTGCACACCTTAGAATATTTTTTAGCAATTAAAAATATCAATATTCTATCATATGGAACAGAAACATCAAGATCGCTCAAGTTATTATATAATTACAGTTTATAAATAATATAATTTAAAATTAAAGCATTTTCAATACTAATACCTAATTATATAATATATCTCAAAATGTACTTTGCTAATGATTTATTTAAAAAATTTCTTTATTTGCATTTAACCTTCGATTTACTTCAAATATGATTGATGAGCTTTATTTAAAAATTTAGACCTAACCTATTAACGTGTTCAGGTATAAAAGGCGTGTACTATTAGAACAAATTCAGTTTCAAGAAGAGTTTTGAAATTATCAGTTTAAAAATGAAGCTATTCATTTTGATTTGTTTGGTTGCAGTTGTAGTTATTGCTTCTGGTGCAACAATTGGCATTAAACCACCTGTTGATGGCGGTAATAATAATAAAATAAATACAATAATAATTATTACATATTTTTTTTTTATTTTAGTTGATTTAAATGAGCCGATTGAGGATGTAACTCCAGCAGATCCTGATCAACCAACTTTAGCTATAAAACCAGAATCACGTACTTTGTTCCTCTTATTACCATTATTGTTCCCTGATACTTTCTACTTCTCATAAATATTAATATTTTATATATTAATAATTATCTGATTTATGATGATGGTAATATGAATGAATATATAAGCAGTTCAGAAATTAAATAAAGAAAATTTGAAAAATATTTTTGACTTTCTATTAATTTTAGATATTAAAGATATTAAAAATTTATAAAAAATATAAAAAATATTAAAAAGATTTTTAAAGAAATTCAAAATATTCGTTACTAGTCTGACTGGGAAAAATGTAGTTACACTTTCCTAACAAAATATGTATAAAAGTATGTAAATACAATATATAAAAAATAAGGGTATAAAGCATGTTCATCATTTATCGCCTTAATGATTTAAATAATAATAATTTTTTAGTTATAAATAGATATTTAGTTTCGTAATAAATATGCATTCACACAAAATATGTTCTATTATAATAGTTAAATGATTATTATTTATTATAGAATTTATTATCATTAAATAAGGAATACTATACATCGCGACTCTAGTGGACTTTTGTGATAAACGCAATTGTTTCGTTGTATTTCACATATTTGCATGCGGTATTATAAAAATGTAAATGAAATGAAAATGTATATAATTTCAATAAGAATCTAAACAATAGTTATGCCAAATGCGAAGACATTGGAACAGAAGTATAACTAATATTATTTAATATATTATTAGTCTCGTTTCAAATCAAAATGGTTCATTATTCAATTGTGACAACCATTTTAAATACCTTTGCTTTTCGCCAGTCACGTGCACTGGAATCACCACTGTGTATAGAACTAGTATCCTTTCGTTTACGTTTTCGTTTAGTTGCATTTAATCCATAATTATATAATGTTTGAGCATCTCTGAAGCAATAAAAATATATTAATATTTACATAAACAATATTTTCTTAAAAATATTTTTGGATATAGACCTTTTATTAAAACGCAGTCCTAATTTTGGTAATTCGGCTTGTTTTTTATTGAAAAATGCGACTTCCATGCGACGTAAATAAGCTGCCCATATTTGCAATGTCACAGTTTTCAATTCTTCTTTTGCGCCCATCTGCAAAAGTTCCTCCACCATACCACGTAATATGTAATTATAACATTCCCACGACGTTAACTCAGCTGAAAAGTTTTCATGTTAAATAATTAAAATAACAAATTTTAAGATTATATTTACGTGCATTCGCTTTAACTTTCTTTATTTTAGTTTTTCTCTGAAGTACACCATCAGGATTCTCGGTGTCAACTTCGACTTCACGTAGCTGCTCTTGTTTAGTGCCACACTCATTACAATAGTAGAAACCTTCTCGCAACGTAAATTGAATTTCGCCACATATTTTACAAGGATCTGTGTCAAATTTTAATTCTTCCGACATTATAGATTTATTAAATTTATTCGTTTAAAAAATGCTTGTAGTTATTTTGAAATTTTTGGTCACACTTTTAATTTAAACAAAAACAGCTGATAATTGACATGTCACTTTTCATTTTTCACAACTAGGTGTCGCACACGAGAATTTCCTCTAAACGTTATAATAAGATTAATTTTAAATTGTTTTTATGTTATAAGGCGGGATTATTAGCATAAAATTATAAAATATTATAAATATTATAGATATTATTTTTTTATGATAAGGATACTGGTAACATTTTGTACAAGTGATTTTATCATTTATTTTAAAATTAAACAAGTGGAAATTTAATTCTTCATTTCCTAATTTTTAAACTAAGTACAAAAACTTAGTTTCGTATAAATACGGATGAAACTTAATTTTTAATAATATTAAGTAATACAATTTATTAATAAATATATTTATGAGACACAGACATTTTTCATTATATGGAAATAACACTAATCTTTTATGCTTTTTGCAATATTTATAATAAACATTAAAAAACTTCACGCGTTTAATTATTTATTATTTTTGCAATCATCGAATGATCCAAATCAAAAAAAAAAACTATATTAAATCCTTTGGAAAAATTTTTTTGATGTAGTGATTTATCTTTAAATACCCTTTTGAAAATCCCCCGTTGAGTTCCACTGATAGTTTTAAGATATAAAAACATATCAAAAAAAATAACGAATACTTTGCTGAGCGATGATTAAAAAAATTTTTCATTGGCATGCTTGTTTTATTTGCTCCATATATTTTACACATCTTTATTAAGGGTTTTGATTAAGTTATATAACTTTCATCAATATCTTTAAAATCTTTTTGAGATTCTCAGTTTTTTAATACCTAATTATATATCTAAAAAAAACTATTGTATTGTTGGCTGATTGGTTAATTTATTTTTCATTTGCTTATTTGGATTTACATTACAGTAATCCTCCTTATAACGCAAAAAATTGGTTCCGCGTTATAGGAAAACGCGTTATGGGGGTATTCCTATATACACTGTGCAAAGGTACGCAAAGCTTATTATAAACTGTACAAATCTCTTCGTTATATGTTATACGGGGAATAAAATCGCGTAATATGAAAACGCTTTCTAAGCGAACCGCGTTATAAGGGGAATTACTGTATTTGTTTTACACATTCTTAAAACGTTTTTAGGAGGAAGCATGTACTCCATTTAAAACTTAATTGCACACGATATTTACAAATAACAAATGTAAGTATAAAACAATTGAGAATTGTTTTTATAGTAGGGGGGATAGCAGAATATTAAAAGAAAAATAATAATTACTGAGTAAATTACTAATTATATTTTTGTATATTTTAGTGATTAATAAACATATTTCGATTCATATGTTCAAGCAAGTCACTCTTCTCGATTTTATGAGAGAATACCGTAAGGTGTTTCATTGAAGTTCTTTGATAAGTGATATACATAGCCGCAAATAAGAGGAACACAAGTTCTTTTTTTTTTTGAGATTTTTATTGAGTTTTCAGAAAGTTACTGGTACAACTATATTACAGCTTTGCCAATAGGGCATGAGGTATATAAAATATAGCAGAATCGTTTTCTCGGCGTTTGAAAATTCCAAACCTATATTTTGAATTAAAAATGCAAGTTTATATATTTAACTAACGCAATATTTATAATATTATCAACGTTGCTGAATTAATAGATTATATGAAATTCAATACTGAACAAAAACTTCTGTTCAAAATTTTAATCTTAGCACGCGTACATATAACAATAAACTGCAATAAACAAACTACATAGTTTTTGCCTATAAAGAAAACGAAATATGCAAACAAGTGTTAGTAAAGTACAGTATAAATATTTACGTTATCAACTAGCGTCGTCGTTATATACTTTTACTTGTTTTTCTTTGTTCTCTTTGTGTTCTTTCGTACACAAGGCTAATATTTTTAATCGTTCTGAGTATTCTGAGTTTGCATGTCAGTTAAGTACGGTTGGATTGCGCGGGCATAAAACTTGTAAACACTTGCACCACTAATCCAATTGCGCTATAAATAATTTATCAAGAATTAATCGGTCGCAATTATCGTGTAAATTAAAGCAAAGTTCAGCATTTTTATTCTTTTTGGGTCTCAGGTGAATGAAAAACATCAATGAAGGGTATAAGCTGCTCATTGTCAAGGCAATAGCCATTGCACACGGACGAAATTATTAGAATCGGCTGAATTAAAAGATATACATGTTTTTTTTATAAAATAAAATAAAAAAAGAGCTAATAAATTATTGCGCAAATCTATTGTATCATTGATATGCAGGCGGTCTAAATGCAACGAGCTTATCGCTTTGAAAGCAAAAAAAAGTTCATATTTTAAATCGATTTGGAATATCATAATTTTTTTTTAATAAAAAAATGGTGACAAGTACAAACATTAACCATAAAATTATTAATCTCTGTCGCAAGAAAATATCGAACAAATTGCGCAAAACTTGGTATTCGATTCAAACGAAATAACTCCGCATTCAAATACTCACGATCTTCAATGCCGGGCATTACATTCGTTTCAGTGTTTAATGCATAAGTATAGACAGCATAAAGAAAAAGAAAGTAAAAAAGCAAATTTTAATTTATTATAAAAATAAATAATACAATTTTAAATAAATCAAAAAAAGTTATTTTTTAAGAAATAACAAATTTTGTGGTAAAAATGCAACCTAATATAAAAATAGGTGCGATCAGCTCCGATCCTGAGAAAGTGTGTATACAACTACAACATCTTCGGAGATGGTTAGATGAAAATCCTCAAATTAACGCTCGTAGAGATGCTGAAACTTTGTTGTTTTTTCTACGAAACTGCAAATATGATTTGGAACGTACCAAAAAGAAGATCAAAAGGTGGGTCTACATTATTATGGAAAATTGATTCTTAGGCAACAAATAAATCAAAAATTTGGGTCGTAAACTATTATAAGTCCATATTTCTCAGAGCTTAGCTCCATTTTAAACATAGTTATTATTATGTAAAGTACCTATGTTAATACCTGTTGAACTCCAAGCTTCAGTGGTATATACAAATGCAGTTGTAAGATACAAAGCCTCTTAAAATATTTTGGACCCATCGATTTTGTTTAAATAAATGTTTTCATATATTCATATCTTTCATAATACATATCTCTCTGTCACTGACCAGAATTCGCTTTACTTCACTTATTGAAAATCAAGATTTTTTTTCTAATCGTACGAAGTGGCATCCAATCGATCGTAAAATTAAATAAATACTTTGTTATTCAAGGTACACCTATTGCAGGATATGTAGTAGGACATGAACCTTGTATTACAAATTTTTTATTTATTATTTTTTCCACTACAATAAAAAAAGGTAGTGAGCTCCAGTTATTTAAAATGTTAACTAGCTAATGGATATTCTTTGATTTTACCAAAGGTAAAACATTAAGTTAAAAATAATATAAAAAATCTGTGTCCATGTTATTGATGAGATATATACGTTTTAATTAAAATAAAATTGGCGAGTATAAAATGAAATATTAATAAAAAAAACTATCACTTATATATAACTCAGGGCATCAACTCAGGACCCGAACTAAAAAAAAACACCGATATTTTTACCGGAACGAAAATCAAAACCGATCCGATATATTTTTTTTTGTCTTGAACCAAAACGAAAAAAATTCCGGTTCGATACCCTGATATAACTACCGCAACTTCAATATCTTTTACATTGAACATGTATAATATTTATTTCCTTTCTTAAACTATATGGTATATTAATTTTATATTGGACCGCTATTAGAGTTAAGTAAATACCAACTTATATTATTTAGATACATATATTATTTAGTATAATAAAGCCTTTATTAATATACTATTTTAATTTGAAACTAAAACGTTTACTCTAACTCATAGTGATGGAAGGTTTCTATTTTTAAAATTAGAATCAACAATTCCTTAATAGAATTCCTTATTTAATGTTAGGTTAATCTATTTGACTGTAGACCTTTTGGTCTCTAACAATACCATATAAAGTACAATCTCTATACAGATTGTATAATGGACTTATTTAAAAACTGCTTAAAAACTCAATTTTTGAGACTGAAGCACTACATTTTCTTTTTTTTATTTTGAACAAAGAACCTGTGTGCCGTGGTTCTAATAGATACGTATTAAGTATGTCAAAATAGCAGTACAATGACTCCAAAATATAAGTTTATTACAATTCCAATTTAACTTTTTATTACATTTAATAATCAACAATAAACTTTAGATCCATAATAGATTCAATTTTAGTCTATCTTTATAATATTTTGCATTTTCTAAAGTATAAGAAATCATAAAGACTAGTGACAGTAAATAAAACTTTATTACTAATAAATTTGTTTAATATATACATATGTACAAATATGTTATTTAAAAATTGTATAGAAAATAGAAAACGTGCTTTGAAGCAAAACAGATCTTTATTGATCACAAAACATGCAATCATATCATGTGAGGTATAAAACTTTAAAATATAAATTTCCTATTCAAATATGGTTATATAATTATTTCTTAATGTAAAAAAAATACTGTAATTTAAATTGTAAATCTAACATGAAGTAGTGAAGTGATGCTAATTTAATATTCTATAAGTACTTGTTCTATACGTAGACCCTGATGTACAGTACATCCCGCTATATAAGTTATCGAGCTAAAACGAAACAAGTATGCAACTACAGCTTACTATAATTGTATATATTATGACATATAATAAAAATATGTCATAATATATACAATTATTTAAGAAGATATCTTAAACATTAAATTACTAATTACTTAAATTTACAAATTATTTATAATTTGTATTTACTATAAATAAATTTACTCAAATTCCCAGAGAAAATAATCGAGACAAATTAATAAAAAGTATTACCATTATGTATATATTTATCGTTTTTCTTACTTGACTACAAAGATCAGATTAGAATTTTAATCTAAGAAATTTTATTACCCAAAACGATAAAAATCTTTGATCCCCATTAAATGATAACAAAATTCTAACCAGTTCTTTAACCTTAATCTAATCTATAACTTACTAAAAGTATATTTAAAAATTAAAAATTACTTCTTGTCAAATCAAAGTTTAAGTACTTTTAATTAAACTATTAAATGACTAATAGTTATCTATTAAACCTATTTATTATTATTGTATAGTTTTTACCAAATGCGGGCTGAACGTGTAGAATGGTTTGCAAATCGAAATCCATTATTACCGGAATTACAAGATCTATTACGGTTAGGTGTGTTTCTTCCCGTGGACGGAGTTGATGCAGAAAACCGCAAAGTAGTGATAATAAGAACGGCGGCACATGATCCTAAATTACATACACAGAACAATGTATTTAAGGTAATTGGATGGTGACAATATTTTAAATAATATATGTATTTAAAAATAGAAAAAAAATAATTATTAAATATTTTAGACTAGTAAAATGATACTTGATTTATTGCTGAAATTTGAACCAGAAAATTGTGCAAAAGGTATAGTGGCCATATTTGATATGCAGGGTGTACAGCTGGGTCATGCTCTACAACTAAACCCAAAACTCATTAAACGATCTGTTGAAAGTTGGCAAGCATATCCATGTCAACCGAAACTGTTGGAATTTATCAATACACCAACTCATGTCAATTTAATATTAAATACTTTTCGGTAATTATAAGTTCTAAACATTATTAATAAATATTATATCAGTAAATTTATTTTTAATTATTATTTATAGTGTTTTTATGTCGTCAAAGATGCGTTCCCGTGTCGTTGTACAGAAACGTAATTGTTCAGTTAAATGCAATAATCTTCCAGTTGATATAGGTGGTACTGGACCAAGTTACCAAGAGTTGGCAATGAAGTGGAAGCAATTAGTGGAGCAAAATGCTGATTTCTATGTTGAATATGATAAATATAAAAGTATATTAAACACTTAAAGTTGATCAAAATCTATATTATCAGTACTTTTAATTGTTAATCAATTTAAACTAAATACTAACCAAACTAAATATGTTTGGTGTCTTTATAAAATTATAAATATATGTCGAGATTATAGAATGCAATATAAATTTACTCTAAGTATACTCTTTTATAATTAATGTGTAGGGATTAAGATACATTTGTTAAAATTTTTTATTTTGAATATTTTCATCTTCAATAGCCATATAAAAACAAAACAAATTAATGACTTTTTCCCTAGTTTGATAAACGGATAACTATAGTTCTCTTTTCTTAATAAATTCTAAGGATCTTACCAGAGGCATCTCTTTCACCACTTTTAGACTTTGACTAATTAAACACCATTCTGTATAAAATTGTTGCAGATTATGAACAAAAAAAAAAATTCTTCGTTCAATGAAACGCTAACTATACCTCCCTATTTCTGTTGAAATATTGTCAATGAAGAGAAGATTCTTAGAATTTGTTGTGACTTCTTTGTCACCATAAAACTTCTCTGTCATTATAACAGCTAGGAAATAAGATAAAATATCCAGACAAAATATCGGAAATCTAAAAATCATATTACTAAGTGCATGCTAGGCTATTAAAGAAAATTGGGCAGATTGAATCAAGCACTAGCTTAGCTGCATTGCGTTAAGTAGGATGACTTTTTTAAAATTGTTAAAACCAATATTGATTGATTATTATTGTGTTATAAATAAAAATTTAATTATTTATATTATTTTGTTGAGAAAATTTCGAAAAGTACTGAAATGCAACAACCAAATTTTTAATTTATTTTTAATTAATTGAAATTTGTTTTTGCAATTTAGTACTATTCGAAACCGCTCTATTACATACAATAGTCTCTATTAAGTAAAATAGTCGATGCCGTCATAACAGACGTTGAAATCAAATTTGTTGGGGCTATAAAAAAAATAAGAATGAAGATAGTTACATAAACTACTTATTTTGGGGTACTTATAAACCAGAACCAGTTGCAGCCCGAATAGTCTATATGACAAAACACAAAAATGGATTTATAACGCGTATACATATATATGGGTTAGAATAAATGTGGTTTTAAGCCAGGAAAGAATTATAGTAACTAGATATGTTAATTTTTTTTGTCTTCTTATGACTGCAAACGTCTAGTCTATTTAAGAAATGCACCCATTGTTCTAATAGAAATATGTATCTTAATCTAAATTAAATTTAATATTGCATTTGTATGTAATAATATCCCTTGTATTTATTTTTATTAATTATAACATAATGAGTTATGTTTTAAATGTATACTTTTATTGAAAACCATCATATTATATTATGTATTTATATTATGTATTTGCATATATACTCGTATATATATATATTTATTTTGAATATTTCACATATGAAAATATTTTTGTATATTATTGTAATAACTTTACATGACCATATAAATGCTTTTATCGTTTCCATTTAAAATATTTATTTATTGCAGTTTTATTGTGCAATATTTTCCACTTAAATATTTTTTATAGTACAATATATTAGTATAAATAGATTTTAAAGTACATATGTACCCTATATTTTGAAAGCGGTGCTAAAATATAATTTATCATGTAAGTTCATATCAAAATTCTTTTCTTGTAAAGTTAATAAAAATATTTTATAAAAATTGAAGTCTTTATTTACTCTTACACTTGTTTAAAATATTTTTAATGTATTGTATATACATATATAGTAATTTATTAACATAAGACTTTTAACTACTCTTTTATAGCAAGTACGTAATAAAAATTCAACTAAAATAACAACATAAAATCCAAACGTTTATAGCGTTAATCCATTTTAAATTAGATTATTATATTTTTTTTTTTCAATTGAAACTACAAGTATATAGATTAGCAATGAGGCTTAAAAGGATTAATTCTATTTTTATATCACTAATTTAATAAAAGGTAATTTAGTGTAATATAAACGGTATTGTCACTTGAAAATGCTTATTACCAAATAAAATGTTTACTAAGCTTAATAAATCCAGGGATTATTCATATATTACGTATGCGTTTTTTTTATTGACCCGGAAAGAAACCTAATACTTTTTCAATTTATTTTGTTTTTAGTTTTGTGATGTCAAAAAAAATGTGTAAATTATATGATATAACTATTTACTTGGTCATTTTATACTTTATACTATTTTTAAGTAACTGTAAACAGGTTTTTTAGTTTCGGATTGAAAAATAATTAAAACTAAAGCTAATTAGGAATTGACAGTAAGACAACAAAATTTATTCGGCCCCTTAAATCGTATGAAGCCTTATTTTAAATTTAAATTTAAGCTTATCTAATATAAAATTAAATTCAAATACTCATATTTATATATAGGAATATCTAATAATTATAAAATTGTTCTTAAATTTATACGTTTTCATTATATTAATAATATTTCAGTACTACATTTTATTGTGCTTTTGTTAAAAATAAAAAACACTATCTAGTATATTTATAAGAACAAAATATTAAAAAAAATCACTATTATTTTTTAAGTTCTTTATGTATATGTATTATTATTATTATTATTGTGTATATTATACTTAACACCTAAGGTAGTTCTTTATAAAAATATATATATACTTTTATTTAATTGTTTGATTACATTCATTAAATGAAGCAAAAAAGGAGTTTTGAAGCTGCTAATTGGTTAAAGCTACAATTAACAAAAATATAAAATATAAAAAAAATAAATTTAAAAAAATATTAATTTAAAAATTACATTAGATTACAATATAATATATAATCAGACTTAATTTCTAAAAATTATATCATGTTTTCATGACATATTAAAAATAACACGAAATTTTCTTCAAGCAAGCATACTTCAACTTAAATCGATATTAATAATAATTTATCCGACAGGCAATTTGCTTATACGACTATATATTTATATAAATACTCGTATATGAAATATTTGTATAATTTTAAAAATTACTTAAACTGAAAACTCCGCTTGTCTAGCGAGTTTCATCGAATCCTATATTTGCCGTTCATCCTTTGCTGTTAACTTATCAATGAGTTCCTGTAAAGGTGCCAACTCCCGCCGTTCAATTAAACTAAATTCCTGCACAAAGAATATAAAATGCTTAAATGATGTATTTAAGTGTGCCTCCTCTCCAAGTGTTACAACTTCCGAAAAATGTTGATGATATATATGTGCATAAACACGGAACAGACGCTTAAGTATGGTCTTGGCTATGTTAAGAAAATTCTTTGGAAAAGGTATACCAATTTTAGATGGAAATAATGTTTCATCATCTAATTGATCCTGCACCCAAGTCATAAGATAGTCAATGTATTTTGGTGCACTACATTTAATTGGTTTCTTTACGGTCAATCCATCTGCCCAATGATATTCATACTTAGGTCCAGCTGACATTATACCACAACTATCTTCTGTACAAAATTCAGTTATCGTACCGTACAGCATATTTATTTGATTGAAAAAATCAACAGCTAATATATATAAAAGAATAAATAAATACATAGTTTTAATAAAATAGCCATAAAGAATTTAACTTACTGTTAACAGCGACCCATTCATTTAGATCCTCTCCATCTGGTAATGCTACTGCATTTCTTAAGTTTCCAGAACCCAAAGTGGCCGCAGCATGCTTCATTAAATCATATTGATGGGTACCCTCAGGTATGTTTTTTTTAGGTTTAAAAGTCTTACTGGAACGTGACCCGCTATAACATTTTAAAAAGCAAGTTTTTATATAAGAATAGTTTATATGAAAGCTATATTATAATTTTAATAGATGAGTCGAAATTTGAGTATACACAAAGATGCTTCTATCGAAACCATAAGTTTACATAAAACTTTTAGGTATATAATGTCTGTTTTTGCACTACTCGTATATAGACTTTTCAAAAATAAGCATATTATTTTTTGTTCTATAAATAAATTATATTAACTTAAAAACTGTATACAATTCTAATTCTTGAAATAATTTAGTCATCAAACATTTATTTTTATAACACATTACATATATTAATTACATTACATATATATATATATTATATATTACATTATATATATTAATTTTAGTCAGTGAACCCTTTCTTTCAAACTTTGTTAAAGATGTTATTCCGATTTTTTTCATTTTTGAATAAGCAAGAACCAGTCAAACCACATTATAAAATTTATTTATATTATCTACACATACTACTCAAACATGCTTCTTTTGAGTACTTGGAAAGCAATTAAGTCCAGTTCTAGTCCAATTGACTTATAGCTCCGCCACACATAAGATCCCAATAAACTTACATCTAGTTTTATTTTCAATTACCCTGTTTCCTCACATCCACTCCTATCCCAACACATCACTTTTTATTTACTGCTACATTAATATTTCTGTCATTTTATTTTTGTATTGCACATTTGGTCTTGTACCTCCTATATTTTCCAAAGGATGGTGGAACGATTAGAGACGTTAATAAACATATAACAATTAATATATTCAAAGCCGAGCTAACTAATATTTTTGGCAAAACACATACTTCTAGGTATAGTCCTTTTAGTAGTAATAAACAGCGTTTAGTCGTTTGGATAGAAAAGTAATCGTGGCAACACAATTAGTACAGCTCTCTCTCTCCACACTGTGTCCGTTATTATTTTTCTTCGATAACACATATTACAAAGAAACTGATATCAGTCCAGTTGAGTACAAAGTACTAACTATCCTCCATATTGCAGCAGTGTTTACTTCGAAACTACGTTTGCTAGCAATAAATTTTTCAATAGGTCTCTGCCTGACATTTCTAAAAAAGAAGATCGCCTTCTTCATGCATTAAAAGCTGTCGTAGCTTAATTAATCTCAAGATTTAGCTAAACACTTACTTGTCACACCTAAACACATCAGATCACAATGCTCAGTTGCAGTTCTACTCCCCATACGTTACTAGACTGATGTCAGTCAGAGGCCTTCCTAGTGCAGCAAGCCTATCTTTGCCAAATAGTGGTCACGACTTATTTAACACGTCATTTGTCAATAAATGCCCTAATTGCACTTTTACTCCTTTCAAAGCGCTGTTCTTCTATCTAAATTTCTAATCGAAACCTATGGCTCCGCCATACGTGCACCCACACGGTTATCACCATCTTACACACAATCATTTTTCTATATCTATGTATGCCACTCATGTTTCCAATTATATACATTTTTACAGTCCACAACAACATATTTTCGACATTCATTGGATATTATCCAGAAAAATTCTCACATATATCATATATTAACTAACTGTGTTAGTTAACAATGAAGCAGCTTACGTATCAATCATTTATTTATTTATTATAATTAATTACAAAATATAAAATCTTATAACTAAGATAAGAAAAAAACGAGCGCTATCTGCCAAGGCCTTCAAGCTGAAGGCTTATCAATCATTTAGGTTATGTTATAGTAATAAAATATAGTCTGCGGAAGTCGTTAGCACAAAATCACGTTTATCTTCCATATAAGCAGGCATACAGACATATGAGCATGGCCAGACAGAAACTTATTGTCGAGTTAAAAAAAAGTGAACTCACAGATCACAATACGATGTCACCTTTATCTTGATAATCCTAACACAATTCTACATTTTTTTATTAACATAAATTTTTGAGCTGAAAGCAATGAAAACAAGACATTTATTTTTTTGACCTGCTTTAGTACTAATAGAGATATGTATCAAGAAGTACTGCAACCGTATTTTCCATGGGTCTTTCAAAAGATTAGCTAGATATGGAGAACAGGAGCTTGAATGAAATACAATTATGGAAGTTACGTACGACTGTAACAAAATTTAAATATAATTTTATTTGTAAATATTCTTTTATTAAATTTCAATTTTTCAACACTATTCTGAATTCATATAAACATAAATTTCAATTTATATAAACATTTATATATATTAACGTAATATGTGTAGTTACAAATAATATTGTAATTCATTGTAGACGTATTTCACAACTAAAATTCTTAATATATATTATTTAAAATATAATATTGTAATTCATTACAGACGTATTTTGCAACTAAAATACATACATATTTAAAATATAATTTTGTTTATAACAAACAAAATTTTATTTTATACTTTAAATTAATTATTAGCCAAAATATGTGATGCAATTTTGCTCTCAATTTTTTCCCTTCTTGTGGTTCATTGATCTCCTTCTCCTTCTCCTTCTTGATCTTCAGTTCGTTCTCTCTTAATTACCAGCATCACGGTTATAAAACCGGAACGATTAATACGTATTTGATATACTTTGCCATCTACAACACGTCTAAATCCTCTAGGTTTACGGTCTAATTTGTCTCTCGGTTTGCTTTTAATTTCGTCTTTTAATTCTTGTGGCCATTCTTCTTCTGGGAGTACTAGTTTCGTACTCAGACTCGGTTGTTCTAATTGATTTATACTAGTTAAGTCTTTTGCCTTATTTTGTCCAGTTTCGGGCGCAAGAGGAACCTTACTTAAGACGCTTATAGCATTATTAGTGTTAGTTTTATTATAGCCAATACTCGGAACTGCGAACGGTAGTGGTTGAATTTGATTTGTACTTAAATGCTGAGGTGTACTAAGTGCCGTGTTATTTGTGTTAATTGAAGGCTTATTGAAGAGCGGCAGTACTATCGCAGTATTGCTGTTAATTAGATGGTACGTAGTCTTGTTTACTGTTCGCAGTAAGGACACATTATTAAGATTGCCTATGGCATTAGTGGTGTTTGTGGAATTATTTTTAGCTTTTTTAAGATTTGGAATATTATTACTATTTTGCGCACCTTGTGAGGACTCATTGGGATGTTTTCCTTTATTGTTTGTATTTAAATCAAGACTTAAGTCACCAATAGTTATAGTAGTACCTATAGCTTTCAAGAAGTCTATACCCAGAATTATATCATTAACTACATTAGGTTGTACCAATAGTTTAAGAATCACTGTACGCTGTTCAAACTCGATCTTATTACGTATTTCCGCCACGGTACCTTCCATTCGGACTTGCGTTGCTCCAATTTTTTTAGTTAGTTCTTCACTGATAAAGCTTCGCGTAGATCCAGTATTTAATGTTGCATCCACCATCTGGCCACCTATTATGATTCTCGCAACAAGGCGTTTACCATCTACTCTGAGATTGTTTGAAGTTTTTGGTTTGCTCTGCTGTTGTTGTTGTATCCCGCTGGGACCTGCTTGTGAAGTCTTTGTGAGATGAGTCGAATGGCACTTGGTCGTAGTTGACGTGGACCCGGCCGTTCTTGGAACCTGTTTGCTCTGTGATGTGCTCTGTGTTTGATCTCGCGTTTGGTCGCTTACTTTCGTGGAACTAGATTGGGTACTCTGGTCATTTTGCGCGTTAGACTTACAGCAATTAATAGTTCTGACGTTTAGTTTACCGCATTTCCAACAAAAGAGTAAACGTGGATGTTCGCAGTTGTTTACTAAATGCCCATGATTACCGCATTTGCGGCAAGCTTTCTTCGGATTTTTGATTTTTAAATCGATATATTGCGGTAATTTGCTTAGATTTTTTTGTAGTGCTGCATGTTCTTCATTTGTTGGTAATTCTTCTACAGTTCTAAAATCGTGCTTTTGATCCATTTGCCAGTTATTACCAAATGGCTTGCATTGTTGACTAGCGTCACTAACCGACTGCGGTATTAGATCACGTAATCCTGTTACATAGTCCATAAAAGATTCATGATGTTTATCTCGACGAAAACGTATTTCATTTTCTAGTGTATCCAAAGATCGAATAGGTGAGAAAAATCGAAGAAAATCAGTTTTAAAATCCTCCCAATGATTCCAGGTTCTTATATTAATATTATTTTGAAACCACAATAACGCTTCACCTTTCAATAATACCACCATGTTTCTAGGAATTGTGTTAAGGTTAAGGCCACATACTTTTGCAAGTTCTTCCACTCGTTCCAAAAATTCAAATGGACTCTGAACACCAGTATATCGACATGCCCATCTTCGAAGTTGTTCCATGGTTTGCAGACACATATCACTATTCGGAGCTATCATTTTTTGTGAAAAAGGATCTTGAAGTTTTTGCGTGAAAGTTGGTGAATCATAATGTCTGCGAGAGAACGCGTTTTCAACATTTTCGTCATATTTTTCTTCGCAATTGTAATTAGCCAAGCGTTGTTGCAATTCCTCAAAGGTATTTGCTTTTTCGAACTTGGACTCGTCTGCATAATTCAAAACTTCGTCATTTCGCATATTCAACTTCCACGGCCTGCTTTGATTGTAGGGATCTTCTGGATTTTGATCAATACATTCTCTATTAATTCTAAATTCCTCCATATTGTTTCGGTTATAATCACGTCGTATTGGAATCTGGTTATGTGTGTTCTTGGGTGCCAGTAATAAAAAAAACCTTTTTTTGTATTTACGGATTTACAATAGGCCTAGTGCGTGTCCAGAGTAAGTCAATAAATATTTCCTAGACTTGTTTTTGAAAATAAAAAAAATTATGTCATATTAAAATATGCTTATTAATAAATATATGCTTAAATTATACATCTCTTATTTGAATGTATTTAAATAATAGTAAATAGTTTCCCAAATTAATTAATTTAAAAGCTTAATTCTTTATAGTCATTAGGACACAGACATTAGAACTATAAAGGATCTACGTAATGAGAACTCAGTTTTGATGTATGTTGTTGTTGGTGTTGAGATCGGACTTCACCGTAAATGTACTGTGTTTTAGGCAATGCTGCCGCACTTGGTGGTGAGAGCTTAGCTTGGCGGTTAATGAGAAATCATATAGCCAAAAGATTAGTATTTAATGATGCTGAAATTCAATAGTCCTGTTAAATACCCCAAAATTTGCAGATGACGAGAATACAGTCTTCCTATGGGTACTGCGATATCACACTACCAAAAAGGTTAACACTTTAAAGTACTAAGAAATTAGTATTTGTGTATGGTGATACGGATGCTGACAGATGAGTTTGCCCATTAAGCATTACTTCTACAAAGTTATTACGCTGTAGAGTGAACTGCGCAAGGATTTGAATTTAAATGTGATTTAATATTTGTTATAATGAATGTTACTTTGGATGTTAAGAGATTAGACTTCACAAAAAGCAAACATTAAAGCTGCTAACAGATTAATCACTCTGAACGTTACGCTGAGTGCTGATAAATCAACCTGTAAGTTCAGTTATGAGAGGTGCTGAGATAGAAATGCTTAAAATTAGTATTTTAAACATGCTGAAAAATCAGCCTTTCTGTGTGTCATTCTGAAAGATCAGACTGTCATAAATTTATTATGATATTATTTCATATTTTATTGATATATTAGATACTGAGATGAGACTTACCAAGAATTAGTAATTACAGGTGCTAAAAGATTAGCCTTCCTGTGATTTGAGTGCTGAAAAATCAGCGTACAAAAGAATTATTATTTACAAAATGTTAAGAAATCTGTTTTTGCTGTATTTTATCATCGATACTGAGACTTCAAACTGACAATATATCTAGTTGTGACATCTAGATTTATTTCGCTTTATACCCAATACACGATTAAACCACATTTCCCTACTATTCTTAGAGTAGCTAATAACTCTCACTATAATCCAATTGAACGGAATACAGTATTTAGTAACTATAGCTTAAAGGTATGTTTTACAATATATTAAGTAGAATGCTGAAAGATCAAATTCATATTTTCTTGTAGCCTATTATTAAATATAGGTATTACTGGGAAGTGACGTTATGAGAGTATTTCTAATCCATATTTGCGATAGCAAACAGAAATATATTAGTTTTCAAAAATATATACCTGTTAATTGATTTGCTGTCAATGATGCAAATTACTCTTTAAAAGATTAATGGCTAATATTCAATTCTCATTAAAGTATTGATTCGACGTAAGATATTGGTTTAGTGTTTAATATCACACACTTAAGAGCCACTTAAGTGTGCATTGTAAAACTGGGTATAAATATAGTGTCATTAAACAACTTAGTAAACTATAAATCAGGCTTCAGTTCAGTAAAATAATTCTATGATATGAAAGGTTAACTTTACTAGTTTTATATGGTTTTTCTCTATGGTTTTTTTTGCATTGTGGAATATCGCTTTCATTGCAAATAATTATACATCTTCTTCGTCTATAGTTTTTGGAACCTAAATGAATAGTTGTAGTAAAAATTTGATTACACAGTAATCCCCCTATAACGCGGTAGATTGGTTCCGCGTTATAGAGGTATTCTCGTATATCCCGTATACACACGTGCAAAGGTACGCGAAGCTAATTATGAACTGTACAAATCCGAGGGATTGGAATCGCATAATATGAAAACATGTTATAAGGGTACCGCGTTATAGGGGGGATTACTGTATATCACTCGATATATACTTCCATAATTACTTCCATGCAATTTTTTTTATTTGTAATTATAGAATCAAATGAATATATTATGCAGAACCTAAATAAAAGACTGTATTCCATATAAAATATATTAACATTCAGTAAAAATTTTTAATTATAAATTGAAATTAAATAGTTATTAAATAAAAAAAAATCCTAATAAAAAAATAAAAATAAAGTTTGACTGTTAAAATCAACCGAACAAAATCTGTTTTTTAATTAACATTATTTTTTTCCAATTGTTATACAAAAACAAAATGATTGCTTTAAAAGATATTAAATTATCTTGAAAAAATAACAGCATTTACTACGTATTTGCAAAACTTTTCTTGCGGCTACTGGCGTGGGAGGGTAGAACAGCAGGTCGCTGCACTTTCTCGAAAATTTCGATAGAAAGAACAAAAACTTAACAAAATAAGAATATTGAGAAAGTAACATAAAATTTTAAACATTTCCATTTACTTACAATAAAAACTCCATATTGCTGTAAGTTACTGTAATTTAATGCTTATAATTATATTAATAATTAATACGCGCTCTAAATTGTTTTCGGATTTATTTTTAGCAAATATGACGAATAGGATTTATACGCCTTGAATAGAATCAAATCGTTAGTATTCAACACTACAAGGATTGTTCCATAGGCGCTTTAACCGTAAAAAATGTTTTAAACTTATATGCAAACGTGATCGCCGACTTATATATTTAAATTCTTTAAATTTCAGAAATTTTATTCGTCTTCTCAATCCTCCGTCGTCTAATTTCTTTACACTCTTTAACACTTATATTCATTGTTGTTCTGACTTTACATCATTTTTTATCAGTTGCAACTTTCTTAGATTGACATATGTTTGACAACAAACTACAGTACAGCTAAAATTTGTTTATTATTAAATCATACATAACAGATATATTCACACAAAATATGCAAAGCATACAATAAATATTTCGTCTACTAATAAATTAAGAAATATTATTTTTAAATTAAATTTTTATTTTTTATGTATAATCGTATATTTGTATAATATTAATTGTACATAATCCGTACGCATTCATAATGTGTCATCAACTGACTAATGTCTACTATAGTAATATAAATAGATCGTCCTTCACGATTCGTATATAACATTCTAAACTCGTGTTAAATATCTCAAACCATTAAGTGTTAAATTTATGCTAGTAATATTGCGAGAGATGTCAAAATGTGGCGTAAAAGTCAAATGTTTAACATTTCAAAGTATGAACAAATTTGTTAAATATTATTTTCAATGTGATTAATTAACTATTGCCACCTTAAAGTGTATTCACACTGTCTCATTCAGGAACTTGCTCATTTATATTAATGTGTGAAAGTTCATATTATATTGAGCTTCTTTATGCAATTGAAAGAACTTTTATAAACTTAATAATATAACAATATACTTAATAATATAACACACTAATAAATTATATTTATAATTGTTATATTAAATCTTTTACATATATTTTATATATCAATTAAAAATTCAATTAATGAAAACAGAGATATTATTAATTACTTACTTCCTCAGTGCCTTTGCTTACAGCTCAGCTGTTGTTTGTTTACATTTTATATATAAAGCATAAAACAAATATTTCTTATATTGATAATTTCTCTTTTGGAAAGTTTATTTTTAAGGGTTGCATTCCACTTTTTTTTGCCTTAAATGAGCTGATTTATTGATAATGACTTTATTTATATGAAAGCTATTTGTGAGGTAAATCATTAATGAGCAAAACCAACTAATATTATATTAAATTATTTGCTTTTGGAGCCTTTAGATTAATGTGTATTTAAAATTTACAAATAAAGTTGCATAATATAATTTCTTTGTGTTATGTCAAGTCTTGCTCCATAACTTATGGTACACACAGAATGTACAATCGCAATGTTACTGCTTAATTATTATAAGGGTCATGTTATGTAGTATCATGGGCTCGTCATGTTGTTTTCAATGCAAATTATAAAATTGAGAGACAGAGAAAAAAGACAATATATCGATTTGAATTTGGTCATAAGAGACAAGGCTATCTATTCCTTGTCAGTTTGACAAAGCAGTATTATTTAGTAATAAATGTCAACATTTGTGTCTTTTAGAAGCAAACTACCATAATTTCTGTGGCACTCTACATAACATGCATTTTAGTCAAAGCCCAAAAGAGACAATTTTAACGAGCTCATCACACCTATATAACTTGGCCTTAATAGATGTTATTATTAATATGTTAATTAATTTAATATATATAATTTAATACAAATTAGCATGCTTAACAAAAGTCATGTAAGTGATTTTTGTAAGATTTTACTTTCTTAGGAGAAGATGTGAAAGATAAATAAATCGGACATGGCTTTTAATCACAACAGCATTAGGAGAGGTAAATATTATAAAAATATGTACGAATTTTAACTAATAAACATTTATTTGTAATTGATACAAAAAGTGCATTTGGATGCTTAAATTTTAAACGTCTTTATATTTTTCTGAAGGCCTATCGAAGGTAAATTATTAAATAAATATTAAACATAATACAATTTTTTGTAGTAGAAAAAATTTAATACATAAACTTATTAGAAATTTAGACAAATTAGTGCCAAATTAGTATATTTCATAATTCTGGTATGGTGAATAAATAAAAGAGATTTTTTTGTGATATTATACAAAGAGGCACAATTATTTAAAATTTCTTGTCAGTTTCTTTTTTTATCTTCTTTGCTACGTATATTCAGAAAATGAGTATCACTTATTATATTTCATAGCATTTCATCAAATTATTTAGATGTGTTTTATATTATTTTCATAAAAAAATTGCGCAACTTGATATAAAAGAAATCAAATTTTTGACAATGTAAGGAAGTGCTAATAAAAATATTTTAATAGCAGTGGTATTTTTACATTGTGATCAAGAGTGTCGTATTCATATATATGTTGTACAGTACGTTCAAAAACCTCTAAAGCAGCGAACGAAATCTGAACACACGTGGTAAGCATTGTGCGTACCAGTTCAACTCTCAGGGTTTATTTATAAATTGGATCCAGTGTATTTTCTTTTAAATAAATATGGTAAGTATTAATTTTAGTTTATATATTTTGGATAAATAAGTATTTAATATATAAATACTGTTAAACAGAGTACTTAAACAAGTTAATTAAAAAATTTGTAAAGAACTCATAACCTTAGCATAGTGCTAGGCCAAGGTGGCACATATTTTAATAAAATGTGAAAATTTATTAATTGCAGACGAGTCTTTATGTGCTCTACGAGCACGCGGCAGGTTATTCGCTGTTCTCCGTGAAGGAGTTTGAGGAAGTTTCAATGTTTTTACCTCAAGTTGAGTCTTCAGTGACTGATATTGGTAAATTTAATTCAATCGTAAAACTGGCAGGCTTCGCACCCTTCAAAACTGCAATAGCTGCTTTAGAAAACATTAATGCCATTTCGGAGGGCATAGTTCCAGAGTCATTGTTAGTGTTTTTGGACGATTTCTTTTCCAAGCTTAAAAAGAAAAAATGTACGCTTGGTATTGCTGATGCAAAGTTAGGTGCAGCCATTACAGAGTCTGTTGGTGTGCAATGCAGTCATTTTGGTGTCGTTCCTGAAATAATACGTGGTATACGGTTCCATTTCCATAAGCTGGTTAAAGGTGTGCCTATATTTTGATATATTTATTAAATAATTCCACTAATAATAAATACTTTTTAAGGATTTACTGATAAATCTGCGGGTGTTGCGCAGCTTGGTTTGGGCCATAGTTATTCGCGTGCTAAAGTCAAGTTCAACGTACATCGTTCAGACAATATGATCATTCAAGCTATTGCACTACTTGATCAACTTGATAAAGACGTCAATACATTTTCTATGCGTATAAGAGAATGGTATTCTTATCACTTCCCAGAATTGGTTAAAATTGTCCCAGATAATCATATGTTTGCCAAAGCAGCAAAATTTATCAAGGATAGAAAGTCTCTAACACAAGACAAATTAGAAGAACTTGAAGAAATTGTTATGGATTCGGCAAAAGCGCAAGGTATAATTGATGCAGCAAAAATGTCAATGGGTATGGATATATCCATAGTTGATTTGATGAATATTGAAATGTTCGCTGAGCGTGTCGTCAAATTATCAGAGTATAGAAAGAAATTGGCTACGTACTTACATTCAAAAATGGAGTGTGTTGCTCCAAATTTGCAATCGTTAATTGGTGACCAAGTGGGGGCCAGACTTATATCTCATGCAGGTAGTTTAACAAATTTATCTAAATATCCTGCATCAACAGTACAAATATTGGGCGCTGAAAAAGCACTCTTCCGTGCATTAAAAACACGTTCTAATACACCTAAATATGGTTTAATATATCATTCCTCGTTCATTGGACGTGCTGGATTAAAAAACAAAGGACGTATATCACGTTTCTTAGCTAATAAATGCTCAATAGCATCGCGTATTGATTGCTTTATGGATCAGCCTACATCGATATTTGGTGAAAATCTAAAGCAACAAGTTGAAGATCGTTTGAAGTTCTATGAATGTGGAGAGGTTCCTAGGAAAAATATTGATGTAATGAAAGAAGCTATTGCTGCAGTAAAAGAAGAAGCTGTGCAAGTAGCCGATGCCAAGGCTTTAAAGAAGAAAAACAAAAAGAAGAAACGTAAGTTAGAAGAAGCTGCTGAGGAAGAAGTGAAACCTAATGGAAATTCCGTTGAAGAAACCGCAGTTGCAGCCGAAGAAAATGGTGTTGGAGAACCAAAGAAGAAGAAAAAGAAGAAGAACAAGAATAAGGAAAAAGAAGAGTAAACTACTACCAACGTATGTGAAATGATGAATAAGAAATTTATGCAATTAAAATAAATTAAATAACAAATGAAGTTTAGGTACGTATTAGTTTAAAAATACAAAATGCAGTTACAATAATAATTTTGCTTTTAAAAAAAGTTGATAGAATAAGAATTTCTGTTTTTACTATACGACTGTATTTTACAATTAAGATAAGATTTGAACACTTCGTTACATGTAAATAAATATGTAATTCCCATATATATGTAATTCTTAATGTAAAATTTAATAAATATATTTTTTACAAAAATACTTTTATTTTATTACAATTTTTAGATAATGTTCATCAGATATATGAACAATGTAGTGTCACAATAAATGTGTCCAGATATTGAATAATGATTAAATTGTCCATCTTTGCGCTAGGGCTGTATGGATACTACGCGGTTAGAATTAGTCAAATGGGTGACGCTGTTAAGAGTTAGGTTATGGTGTTAATATTTTTGGTGATACAACCATAACCAAGCTGGGTTTGGAAATATAGCATACATAAAGTGTAGAGATACATTTTTCTTTATCCGATTTTATTAGAAGAAGAGTTGACACATTTTGAGAACTATGTTGTAATAACAGCATAATCTCTAGCACAATAATTTATTGAATCATAAGTGAAGTAGTACTGGTATAAGTTATATTTCAAAAACCGTTTCAATCCCGAGTCACTTACATGGTAATTCTTTCATTATGAGCCATTTACATTATAACAGTTTAATTACCGATGGTTTTGCAAAGGGCTTAATAGATCATTATCTTTTTTTCCTTATTCTGATAGAATGTTGTAGTAGTTGAATTTTATCAAGAACTGATGATGTATGTGTTAATAAAATAAAAATTATAGAAATTATGTAATATAGATTCTAACATCATTATTCGTAAATAGTCTTGTTAAAATATTTTTTTCAGAAAATAAGAATGTTCACTTGTTTTTTCGATTTCCCATCGTAATTGATTTAGTTTAAAAAAAATTCGAGTACAGATGAATAGTTCTTCGGTGATAAATATACGTTAACCATCATTAGCAGTAGTATTATTATATTTTAAAAACCATCCCTCTTTATAGTGGTTTGATATTATTAGCAAATCGAATTAGTATTCAAACTGATTTAAGCATTATAACCTCTTTTCAACCAATGTCCATATTAGTGTACAGAAAATAAATAAATACTCCACTAACAACAAATTTATATTATTCTAACATTTTCCGAATGAATTAAAAATTCAAATTAATACCACATATCGTTTAAAATTATATATACATATATTTTTTTAGTAAAATCAAGAGAAAAGTAGCTTTTAATTGCTTATAAAGCAAATTTCAATTGAAATAATTTTAAATACAATATATATTTTATTTGTTATTTAATCTTTATACATAATTCATATGTTTAAAAACATCATTTTTCATTATTTTTTTTTATATTGTAAATCTGTAAATTTTACAAATACTTCAATGTAAAATTTCAATTTATTTTATTTCATAATCATACAAATTATTTAATATATTTTTTTTTTCAATAAAATACTACAAAATACAACAAAATTATTAACGAAAATTATCACGACATATAAACATTTCACAATATTAAAATTTTTAGTACTAAATATATATATATATATAATGTTATTATTATTTTAAGTTATATTAAAATATAACTTCTAGGTCCATATAATATTATATAAACATATTTATAACAAATATTGCATTTCACATAAATTCTATCGACTGTTTATTTGTTTTTTTTTCTTTGTTATTTATTCTAATTTTCTTTAGATTTAACAAATCTAAACTTAATAATAATTTTAATGTATTATTCTTTTGTTTTCTTTTCTGTTATTTATTTTATATACACAATTATATTATGATCAATTTATATGCAAAAATAAAAAGTTAACAATATCATTTTGAATTGAAGTAAAAAATAAAATTAAGATATCTTTGACAAAATTATATAGCAAAATTATTAGGAATGTTAATTTCATTGCAACTAATTTTTAATAAAAATATATTAAATATTGCACAACATTGCTTGTGCGACAGTAAACAAATTTAATAATTTTTAATTATTTTTTTTTTATATAAAAATATTTTTTTCATTATAAAAAAAATATTTTACTTATAAATACATAATATTTAGATCCAATAAAAATATATATGCTTATCAATTGCTTTGATTGTGATGATTTAGCAAATTTGATATATATAATCATAATATTGAATAATTCATTCTAAACATAACCAACACCAATTATACTAAATATTAATATTTAACACAATTAAATAACACTAATTAATATTAACATGCTAATAATTTATTAAGTTTTACATATATTAAATGTTCAGTTTCTTCAAAAACTAATTGAATGTGTTTAAAATTAATTCAATTTACTTTTAAGACATTTTCTATTTTATTTTATTATTATTTAAAATAAAAGTATTATATTGCATTTTTATTTCATTTAAATATCAATTGCGGTATTTTAAACATTTAAATTTACAACCTTTTATTTTTATTTGTTACAACTATTTTCCATTTATTATTTTATTACTTTTTAAAACAAAATTTTAATAATATTAGCACAGGACGGAATGGGATTTGAAAGTTTTAAATTTTGAAATACATGTAAAACGAAAAGAATAAAAAAATAAATTTTGTTTAAGAAGAAAACAGAAAAAAATCAAGTTATATATATTTTCTTATTAAATAAAATAAAATGTTTGATGAATAGCTGGCTCAGAATAATATTCATTAAATTTAATTTTTAAATAATACATAATGTTACAGAAACAATGTTTTTTCTTGTATTTAAAAAAATATATTTTAAACAAAAAAGAAAAAATAGTTTAAATATTTAATATTGTTTTACTTTTTTATTTTGTCTTAAATGAAACAAAAAATACATTGTTTTAACAATATATATATTAAGAGAAATAATACATATTTAATTAATTTATTACTTTTAACAGAAAAACTAAGAGTTATTTGCTTTTAACAATATATATTCTTAAGGAAACATTAAAGTATTTATTTCTCAATCAAAAAATAATTTTATTAATATATATTTTTACAAAAATATATTTAATTAACTTAATATTTTTAACTGAGAAATTAAAAGTATGTTATTTTAACAATAGATTTTGTAGAACTAATAAAAAAATAAAAATATAAATTGTAATAATATTGTTTATTTAATTTTTTTTATTTTTCAACTGAAAATGTAACAATTGTATTGTTAACAATATATATTATTGCAGAAATATTGTATATTAAAATAATTTTTTATGAGTATTTAGACGTAGCTCGGTAAATCGTTAACATTGTAATTTTACAAAAACAAATATTCACAAAACATGATTACTTTACCAAGCATTTCTAAATTTCCCTATTATTTCTCAACAGAAACAATAACACAAATAATTAATAATTTCATTAATATTAATTGTAACAAAATTATAATTTAATATTTTTCAACTGAAAATCTAATAAGTATATTTTAACAATAATTAAAATATAAATTATCATAGAAATATTGTTTATTTTATTATTTTTGATTTCTCAACTGAAAAACTAATAATTATATTGATTTTAACAATATATATTGTTACAGAAATATTGTAAATTATAATTGTTTATTTTTTTCAACTGAAAAATTAGTAGTTACATTATTTTTTCGTTACATATTTATACAAAAATATTACGTATACAAATTTTAAACTGTAAACATAAAAATTCTATTAATTTAGTAAGTAATATATATTGTTAAACCAATAATTATATTTTGTTTTATATACATACTATTATAGAAATATTATTTATTTAATCATTTATATCTGTCAACAGAAAAACTAATATATATAATATATATTATAACTGAAATTCTATAAAAATAAATAATTTATTACTTGTTTATTGAACAGATAGATATGTAGCAATGTACTGAAAAAAAAGTATTTAAATATTGAGTTAAAAATTGGTTATTAGATCTGGTTTAAATGTTTAATATAATCTGAATAAATTTTGAAAATTGAATAAAATTTCAATTTAAAGCTCTTAGAAAAGTTAGGGTGCAACTTACATAACATAAACAGTATTTTCACTAATTAGTTTTCTTACTTGATATTATTTATAACAAATGTTCAATTGTAAAGATAATATTTAAATTATATAAACATTCAAATAAGCAATATGAATTCACCTCATTTAAGAATTGTTAAGTTACAAACAAACATTAAATAGCACAAATTATATATAACAAAGTCACAATATACAAATGCAAATAATTATTTATATATAATTAAAAAAAAAATAATTTTAAATAATTAATCTTTTTGGAATGAATTATTGAAATTAAAAAATTTGGATAAGTGGAATGATTAGTAAGCAGTATTTTGTTTATAATACAGAAAATATTCTAATAAAAAATTTTTACATTTTTTTTCTTCTCTGTATATTTAAAGTTTTTCAGTTGTAAAAATATATATAATATATATTTTCTATACGTAAGTCATATAACACAAATGCCATAATCTCTTTCATCAAACATATTTAAGAGAATAACATAATAACATATACATATATATATATAATAATTGCATAAAACAAAAAATAATTAAATTTCTAGAAAACATAAAAATTTTAGATCATAAGACAATATCATTGGAACAGATCAAAAGATTGTGTCTGTAAATTATTATTAACAATATTTTGTTGTTGTTGTTGCTGGGTTTGTGACAAGTTTGGTTTATTGAGTGCATTAAAATTTGCAAACATGGCTGGTTGTTGTTGTTGCTGCTGTGGAATGCTTTGAGTTGCATTGAAGAAGTTTGTGTTACTCATTCCAGTAGGTGCACTATAGCCTGGACTTGTAAGTGGTGATATGCCACTAAAAGCATTGAAGTTACCCATCGTTGGCGTTTGTATATTGAGCGCTTGATTGTTTGGTAACTTGGTTGGCGTTTGAGTTTTGAGCGCATTCATTGAGAGTGCTGGTGTATTTGATTTGCTGGATTTACTCTTCAGTAAATTATCCAAATCAATATTTAAATTGCCTGCATTTAGATTTCCTGACCATGTGGCACCAACATTTTGTGTTGTTGTATTTGCATTGCTTTCAGGAGTTCCTGTTGAATTCTGATTATTATTATTATTGTTGTTGTTATTGTTAGCGTTGATGGGTTGTAAAAGGTCAATATTATTGTTGGAAACAGCAATTGGTGGAAGAATATTGTCTGAAAATAATATTGGATAAAATTAAAAATAAGTAAAATGTTGTGTTAATATAAATCAATAAAATAAAATAATCGCTTCAATACATTTAATTACAGTTACATTACTTTTACAATCAAATTCATGATGTATTTATCACATTAAAAAAATAGATTTCTTAATAAACCAAATATTTTACAAACAGGAAGAGATTTTAGGTGTATGAATTTTAAAAATATTTTTAATATCTGTTTTGTTAAAATTATATAGATTATAAATAAAAATTTTAAATATTTTATATATACAAAAATATTAAATATTTTATACATATAAAAGTTGGAATTATTTTATATATACTAACACTGAAGTAATATTAATATATAAAATTGATTTGCCGTTTCTATTATATTAAATATTACAATTAAGTAATGTAGGTATATAATTTTGACACAATTTTTTATATATATAAAATTTAAAACATTTTATATATTAGAATATATAAAGATTATTTTATAATCTTACGAAGATTATATAAGGAAATTTAAAAAGACTTTGTCTATATAAATTTCATACATATGCATAAAATAACTGAAGATTTTATATATAAACTCTATCGTTATAAATAAAAACCAAGAAAAACAACTTCATTTTTTTATTTTGACTTGTTTTTGTTTTTAAATTTTTATTCATAAATTGATTAGAATTAAAATAAAATAATTAAATAAATTATTGTTAAAAAAATTGATTAGCCTAATTCATTTTTTTATAATTTTAATCATAAAATAACAAATAATAAGATTTAGAAACAAATTTATAAATAAATATATATATATATATATACATAAATAAAATAATATAATATATATATATATATATATATAAATATATATTGTAATATATATAATATAATATATTTATATATTATTGTATATATTATAATTATATATATATATAATATATATAAAATTAAAAAAACACCAAATTTTCTCAAAATTATATCTTTTTAAGATATAAGAGTTTACATATATAAAATTTAGAAACTATTCTATATATATATATATATAAAATTCTTAATAACTTTGTATTATTATAACAAAAAGATATATAAGATCAAAAACATTAAATTATTAATGACATTATATATATATAAAATTTGGAAATATTATATATATGTACATATACAATTTATAATTATTACATATATATATAAAATTTAGATATATTTTTGATATATAAATTTAAGATAAATTTTTGAGATTTAAATTTATAATGTTTCTAAATACGAAAATAATATATTTTTTAGAAAACTTTAATATGTATAAAAATTATACACAAATTCTTTTATATCTAAATTTAATATGTAATATATTATAAAGATAATATATAGAAAGATTCCATATATAATAATTCTATATATATATATATAATTTTGTATTAAGATTATTATATGTATAAAAAATTTTATTTTTATTATAATTATGTATATGTAATATTAAAAAAATTTTTTCCATTTAATAGTAAGAAATATATAGAACTTTTAAGTATACAATTATTCGTGAGACACGGTTTTAAAAATAGTGTTTTACAGAAAGAAGTACAATATAAAATAGAAATTTTTACATAAAAACTTATAAGGTAATTACCATTTTTTAACATAATTAAAACATTTGAAATAAGCAGATTAAAGTATATAAAAGGGAGTGGTTCAAGTCTATATTCATATCAGTACATATATATAAATATAAGATAAAGCCAGTTTTAAGAAGTGCTTTATGTGTTTTCTTACTTAGCGGTGATAGAAATATTTACCAAAGATTTAAGTGGATTTAATATACGAAAAAAAATATTTAGTGATGTGTAAGCAGACAAAGAGATAAGACAATTCAAAAAAGGGCTAAGGGTCTATATATAGATAATACAAAGATATATGTTTTTATTATTAATATTGCATAAATAAAAAAGCAGTAAGCATTTTAAGCCTTTGAAGCATACAACAACCAATTGAATCTTTACCTAATGTGAACGCGTCCGCGGCGGTACTATGCCAGGAATATTCAGAAATGCTTTTTGGTTTATTGTATAAATTTATAAATGTTTTTTATTTTTTAAATATCCAAAATGTTAAGCAAATTTGTAAAGAAAAAATGAAAAAAAATTAAAATTCTAATAAAGAAATATAAAATTTTTAATACAATTATTTAATTATTAAACAAATAGTTTAAACATTTAATGAATATATATATATATCATACACTGTAAGTAAATACAATAATTTATTAATTGTTATTTTTGTCTTCGAAAACCAAATGTCTTATAGCTGAAATATTTGTTATATATAATTTCCAGCAAAAAATATAAAAGTTGATTTGAGAATAAAAATGCCAACAAATAATTTATAATTTTTATTTTTCAAAGAGTAACTTATATTACAATAGCATTTAATTCATTATTACATTTATAATTTAATTAATATTTTATTAAATAATTTTATTTTACATATGAAATTAATATACATATATTATGTCTACCAAATAATATTAATATATATTATAAATGAATATATAATAACAACGTGTACATATATATATTAATATTATATTTTGAATAGCCAACCATTTTGTTATATCTCTACACCTTTCTTAGATAATATTAATATATAATATATATGCTTGCATAATAACATGTACATATATATATATATATTAATATTATGTTTTGAATAAGTAACCATTTTTTTATATCTCTGTCCTTTACATAGATGATATGATGATATAAACATTATGTTATAAATGAAAATAAAATCGCTAGAAATCTAAGTATTGCAAATAGCAAAGAGTTGGAAAGATTACCAAAACTCATTGAAGTCCATTCTTATCGGTTCATTGCACACATCAGTATGCAAATAATCGTGTAAGTGCTATAAAAAAATTCCATTAGTTCGGGAAAAATATTTTTAAGATGAAGCTATAAATATAAATGCGGCAGATAATTCATTGGGCCGTGAAAGAGTATAAGAATTTGCAAACTTTAAAGTAGCAATTTTTGAAAAGAAGGATCAAATAAATATGGTAGTAAGACTACCATATTATTTTTGTCTATTAAACAAAAAATCCTCAACTTGAATCCTTAATAATCACGAAGTAAACCTTTTCGTTTTACTTGTGCATGCAGTCAGTGCTGAATTTAGCTCAAATATGTATATTAAAATAAACAAAAGACATAGAGTGAACATCAAGTCATCAAGTCAACTCGTCAACAGCATTAAAAGAAGCAATTAAATAAAAAATAAAAGAAGTTAAGAAAGTGCTCCACCAAAAATATGAAAATAAAAGTAGAAAAGTTTTCTAGAAAAAATATCTGTGTAAACGTTTTCAATATCAAATATTGTTTGAGAGTGGGGTGTGTTCATTTTTTTTAAATATTGCCGATATATAGGAAGTCTATTTTTCGTTTTTTAAATAAAGTATCACTTCCCATATATATGTCGCTGTGATATGGTACACTCCATATATGTACATATAATATAATTTATTTTGTTCTTTTTTTAAATTTTTTAAAAAGTTTATTTATAATTAATATTTTGTAATGTAGTACAAATGTTTAATTTTTATTTAAATTTTTTTAATATGCTTCATAGTTATAATTAATTTTATATTTAATGTCAGAATGATGCAAAAATGTTAAGAATTTATATTGTTATTATAAATCATTTTACACTTATACAATTTTAATCAAATTAAGTTGCGAAAAAAATTATTTAAAGTATTTTTTAAAATTTCAATATAAATAAATTATAACTTGAATGTTATTTATAACTTAATTATAATTTAAACAGATCAAATTTATTTAGTTATGTGTATAAATAAATATGTATTTAGTTGTGTATGTGTTTAATTTTTCCAGGCTTTAGGTATTTTTTTTTTTAAATTATAAATTTATATAACAACTTATGTAAAAACCAATTTAAGATTAAATAAAAAAAAAATAAAACAAAATAAAGATTAAATAAAAATCACAGTTGTTATCTTATGTATATATTTATTTAACAAATATTTCGATTTACTTCGTAGAACAAAAACCCAAAATAAAAACGGTGTAACACTGAAAATGGTGTACGAACCGGAATAATATATTAAGTAAATATATAAATAAGTTAACAACTGTGATTTTTATTTAATCTTTATTTTGTTTTTATATAATATCCTTAAATATAATTTTTAAAAAATTGACTTAAAGCCTGAAAAAATTAAACACATATTAGTATTGAGGTCGACAGCAATTTAAACAATTCTAGTAAAAGTGTTTATTAATACTAATATGGACTATTTCCATAATCAAGTAAAATTATTTTTAAATTGATCGAATAATTATTTAATTTTGAAATTATAAATAGAGAACACGAATTGCAAAGTATATTATTTAAAACTTCTTTTCTTAATTTCATTTTAAAAATGTATTAAGCATAATTTTATTTAAGAACAAAAAAATGTTATTTCCGTATTCTCTCAATATATTTCTTACACCAACTTATTTGTTATATCAAAATTTTATTATATTTTAATTTACTTGTTTTATAGAGATATCCTTATAGTTTATTATATAAACGCAAGATACATATATGTCAGGAAGTTTTTTTTATTAATAGCTTACGACAAAAATTTAGGTATTTAAGTGATTTCTGGACTTGTAATAATTAGATATATATATATTAATATTTTAAGTTAATAAAATATTCGCATTAATTTTTATTATTTAGAATTTATATATATTCAGTAATGTTTGTGTGAAAATAAAAAAAATATATATGCAATCAAAACATAATGCTATTATTTGTAATATATTTTATTAAATTTATTTTTTTATTAAGAAAAAAACTAAAATGTCTACAAAATAAATTTGTTTACAGTTATTGAAAATTATATAAATTTTTTTTAAAATATCTTTTAATATTTACATAATTCTTAAGATCTGATTTAACAATCGTAACTTAAGCCAGTGTTGGGACTTAAGTTAAGACTGTGAAATCGGACCTTAAAATTTGGGTAAAAATTAAAATATATTTAAAAAAATATAACATAATGATATTATATCACAGTCGTAACTTAAGCCAGTATTAAGACCTGACTTAAGACTTTGAAACCAGACTTTAAGGTTTGTATAAGAAAATTAAACATGTCGTGATTATTTTTAGTATCTTTAAATAAATTTATTTTGTCGTCGTTTTAAAGTTTCTTCATAGGAAAGAAATAAATTTTATTAAATCCAATATATTAAAAATTATAGCAATATTAAAATTAAAAATTTGATTTTTTACATATATTTTTTCATATCCACGCAAGCCTTAATTTTTATATATAACTTTTTAATAATTAAAATTAGTATGAACAGTTTATGAACTTTAAAATGTGAATTTTGATTAAAGCTTAACATATTAATTAAAAAAAAAAAACTGAAAGAACTTAAATGATTTAATACCTTAAAATTAATAAATTTTTATATGTATATTTCTTATTTTCATATCGATTATTTTATATGGAATAGTTATGATACTCTATATTATATATAAACTTAAAAATTGCTTCATATTTAATTTTACATTAATTGTGATGCTTCTTCATTTCGCGCTGCATAAAGTTTTTGTAAAATCTGCGTGGCAAGTGTCCTACACTCATCGGATGATTCTCCTCCAACATAAGGTGATTTTATAATGTCTCGCAGCCAGTTTTCTATTTCCAAGATTTGCTCAGTGAACTGCTCCACCAGAATAAAACGTGGTGTAGTGACAAGTGTAATACCAATTAGTTCCATAACTGCTAAGCGCACCCGTGGCTCTGCACTAAAACGTATAAAAGTGCATAAATCGAATACTTCACGTGTGATTATTGGTATTATTGGACAATTCTGTGCACCCATTACAATAACAGCAACAGTACGCATAAAATATACCAATAACATTATATCAATATCATGAGCAATGCGATCTGTTTTGGAATATATCATCTGTTGTGTGCGCTGGCCACGGACAAGTGAAAAAAAGAATGTACCTGCGACAGCATGGAATGGATTTGGTTTAGCTTGATTTTTTTCAAATGTAGTTTTACTAATAAATCGTCTAGTTTTATCCTTTAGACGTTCTTGTATAATACGTTCTGCTTCAGCAAGTCGTGTCTTATTTTCATCTTTAAAATTAAATTTCCTTACATGATTAACTTCTACATAACGTTTCTTTTGTGCATACATTAATTCATCGTCACTATCTTCTTCCTTTAGGGTAGCGCCCGAAAGCTCTTTAACTGCACCAGTCAATACTTCTAACATGAATATACGCAAGTTAGCATTATAACAGGAATTATCGGTATGAAATTCACCGCAGATGTATTTAGCACATAGTTCCGGTTGTATCACACATATTGCTAATACACAATTGTACTTTGTTCTTTCGAAATTTTCATAATAATACTCCATATCCAAATGTAAAAATATTTTCATTAAATCTACAGCCAGTTTTGGGTCATGCTGTGGCAATTGTGTGCGTATCATTTGTTCAGCAGAAGACAAAGCCGTTTCGAATATATCATAACTATCGCATTTCGTACTCAAAGTATGCAAAAGATCAAGTACAAATTTTGGACGTTTTTCCATTATTTGTGGTATATCATTGGACATGTCGTATGCAGGGAAATCATCATCATCAGAATCTAACTCCATCTTTACAGTTTCAACTTTGTTAGTAGTAGAAATATTTGCAGTTTCTTCTTCGCGTTTAATTTCTTCGATGATTTCTGTATTTTGATTAGTTAAAGTTACTGGAACAGTTTCTTTACCATCTTCAGCAGACATGAAATCTTCTAGTAGAGTTTCTAGACATTGCATATCAACCTCAAAGGCTTTTTCACTTTTAAGTTTATATTCTTTGACTTCACCAATTTCATCTAATTCTGTTAAGATCTGACCTTTGGATGTTGTGTCATATTTTTCATAGTCAAAATGAAGACGTTCTTCCTCTGATTTCTCATCGGTTTCAGCATAATTAAAAACTATTTCAACCGTTTTCATACCAATCATACGTTTTAGATTGTCTGGACTTTCTAAATGATTTTTCAGACCAGTAAATAAACTTTTTTTAAAATTAAATAAATTACTGTCCTTGATATCATCGTTTTTCCTCGTGGCATATAAATGTTTTGCAGTCAAAATTAGTAACTTTGACATTATTATATGTTCCATATTGGTTAGTTGCTGCAATGCGTATCTTCTGCACCAAGCACCGGTAAGTTGTTGCAGTAGTTTAGGTAGTAATTCTGCTTTGTTAACTATGGCTAAATACTCTACCAATGCTTCAAGTTCCTCATTCTTTTCAGGCGCACGTTGTGTTGTTAATTTATATAAAAAGCATAGATTCCATGTTTCTGACTGCTGCACTGCATCTCCAAGCAGCAGATATATATTTATATTTGATTTAAGCATTATCAGTGCCAAAGTGTGTGCTGCATTTCCAGATACTTTCAAGAAAATTGTTTGTAAAATATTGTGAGTATGTTGATGGGTTTTGGCTAATTCATTTAATATATGCAAAAAATTTATAAAATTTTTGTCTCTATCTGCGACATTATAGAAATTGATCACAATGCGTGTCAACAATTGCGATAAAAACTCAAGATTAAAAATTTGAGTGTCTTCACATTTGCTTATGAAGTTAAGAGCTTTTAAGAAATGTTTTAATAAGAGATGAGCATAATTTTTAGGTATAAAAATATATGGTATTTTACTCTCAAATTTATTTGCCACACAATTGGGGAGGGCAATAATAGTTTGTAGGTATTCAGCAATGGTTCCATCCAACTTTTCAATACTGATCTCTGGTAAATATTTTATGGTTCTTTCGTGTTGCTTGATTAGTGCTGCTTTCTCTCTGCATATATGCAGGAAACTTATACACAAAAAGTTGTCATCATTTAAGAGCTCAGTAATTACTTCTGTTACTTCAATGGGTTTCCTATTTAGTTCCTGGTTTAAAACATAAATTGTTTCGTAGATAAAAGCAAAAGAATGATCAATTTTAAATAAATTAAATACAACTATTTCCTCTCCTGATTTTGGCCATACTTGGTTAAAAAGACTTATCAAAACTGTTAAAAGATCGTTGTATTCATTCTTTGCTATATCTGTCCAATCGAATATGTAGTGATCAACTCCAATAATTTGTGCTGCTGTCGCAAAGCCTGGGAGCAAATTCTTAAGATATAGTTGTCTTATAATAATTTGTACTTCATTAATATCAGATGCGCAAGTAATCTTATCTAAAGTTTTTAGCTTCATAATGGCGTTACGCAGCTCGGTTTTTATGCTGTTACTCATCTTTAGTTGATGTTTAGCTGAAAATGAAAAATGTGTGCATCCGATTGGAATGTATTTCCGAAATTGTTTATAGAAGAGGCAAGGATACTACTAAAATTTGTATACGAAATTATTTTGTAGTAAAAATACTGTTAACGCGTTAAATAATTTTCGCTCAATAAATGATTTTATGATACATATTTTCTTTTGCATGCATGAACAATTTACGAAAGTTATTATACTTCGATTAAAACAAATCAATTGATATTAAACAACAATTGTCAATAATAATTATAAAAAATTAATTATAAAAAATCATCGTTACAATAAGCCGCAATGTTTGCCTTGTTACAGAATTTGTTATAAATATTATATTAATCCTGTTATATGTACTTTAACAGAATAACATTAAGCTCTTTTATTGTATTTTCAAAGTAAATCAAATATTTATAAATAAAATTTGTTGACAATTGTATAATTAATATAACAAATCCCTTTATATACTTTTCATATCCATTTTAACAACAAATACAAAAATTGATTAATTTACAATTATTTATAATATATAGCCTATATACAAATCATTTAATATAATAACAATATTATTGTTTATTGAAATAAACTTACCCATTGGCATAGTTTGATGTATTGAGAGATCTCCCAGTCCGGCTAGAAGATCGGTAGCAGTAGTTGCACCGGTGGTAACTGTATTATTAGCTTTGATTCCCGTTGTAGGGTTAAATAAATCGAAATTTTCATTAGAGGGAGCTATTGGATTAAACAAGTTACTATCCAAGCCACCAGCAATAAGTTGTGAGGAATTTGTTGCGGTAGGTGCGCTTTCTTGAAAAGCAGAAAAGTCAGCAAATTCATCAGAGGTATTGATAATACCAGTACTTGGTTGTTGCGCACTACCAAATGCTGCTGTAAAATCTCCAAATTCCTGTTGAGTTTCACTAGCACGTGGATTGAAATCATCCATGTCATTAGCTAACATAGCTAAGTTTGTTTTATCACCAACTATACGTGGTGAACATGTTTTAAAAAGATCATCCGCTACATTATTACTATTGGTATTACCTTGACCCGTTGTTGATGAGTTACTATTTGTGATTGATGTTCCACTATCAATTAAATCATTGCTACTAAGCGGTGTATCACGATGAGTTGGTGAATGTATACCAGCGGCAGAACTTGACATTTTACCAAAATTAGCAGCTGCTCCTAAATCGAGTTTTTTTGAACCAGCTACGGGTTTAGCAGGTTGTTTTGTTATTGTTGTGGATGAATTTGAACCAGATTTTGTTCGTATATTCATATTAATAGTATTTGGTTTAATTTCAGAAGCTATATCAGCTGGGCTTGCCCGATCATTTTGTCGATAATTTCTATTAAAAATAATATTTAAAAGTTAATAATATAAATACAAAAACATATATAATTACTTTACCTAGGACTTGGGGAATCACTATCAGAAAACTCCTTTTCACCTTCATACTGTGTTTCATCATCCTCATAGCGATCACCACGTGAATCTGAATCTGTAATAAGCGTAAAAAAGTTTATTTATTAAAATTCTATATATTAAAGAAGATATAAATATAAATTAATACTTACACCAATTATCTCCATGATAATTTCGGGAATTATTCCATGAATCATAACTACCACTATTACTATTCAGTGAGCGCCCACCCATACCATCACAACTCATTCCAACGTACTTGTCTTTATTTTTCTTCGCCTTTTTACGTTCTTCTCGTAATCGATCATCGTCTTGTATAAAGTCTATTAATTCTCTCACCTAATTAATATAGATTTATTATTATTTTTAAATAATTTTATGTTATAATTGCAAAATTTATATAATTATGTTTAAATATTATGTACCTTATGTCTAACATTAACACCTTGGTCCTTACCACCTTCGTCAGTAAAGGTATAATTTTCAAGTGAGCGTAAATCATATATATGTTCTCTTGAAGACGTAACAACTCGTTCTGAACCATTTCGTACTAGGTAGCTTAGTAAAAGTAAACTCTGTAAATTAAGAGAATAATTTTTATAACACAATTTTAAATAAATACAACATATAAACAAACCTTATATGTACGACGCCAATTAGTTTTATTGTCCTGTAACATTCTTTTCCATAACATTGACATTACTTCAGGGAAACTTTCATATGAAAAAGTTGCATGCGCTAATTCTTGCATTAGGGGACCAGTTGGTCCCCAAGGATCATCATTTGTTGCTTCGCGAACTTTACCCTCAATTTCTGTATAATTCATTACGACATTGGTGCTGTGAACAATAAAAATACAATTATTATAAAATTAAAATTTACAATATTAAATATAATTAGAAGATGAATATTTGGTGATATCAGAAAAGTCCAGGAATTCACTTCAAAAAAGAATTCAAAAAAATTATTTTTTGGATTCCAATTGTCACACTATTACCATCCTTTTTTATACGAAATAAATTTCTATATAATTTATAATAAGCTTTCTTATTCTTAATAAGCTTTTTTTTATAACAAATAAGACTAGTTAATTATAATATATATTATTAATTATTATCAAAATCTTAAAAATTAAATATAGAATATATAAAAATACAGAAACTTTTAGCTTAACATGTAATTTATTAGCACTTAATAAAAACAGTAAATTAATTCCAGAAACGGTCGTGTCCATATCGCAAACTAATTCATTTATCCAGACGACTAAGTGCTGCTCATCCTTTTCAACAACAATGTATATAAACATTAATTTTTTGTAAATTAATATTAGCCTAACGTATATTGGTTAACAATACTATAGTTTATATGACAATAGTTTATCTGTAACTATATTGAAGATATGTTTTCTATGTATACATAAATATTCTTAATATGTTATATTCTTATATAATACAGGGCTGCCAAGTAAATAAATTTTTGAAATTATAAGGTTTAGTGTTTTGAAAATACTCTCAACTATTTGTTTGATATACCGTTTTTTAATGCAAATCTAGAATGGCTTGGCAATTATATTGATAAATCGGCGGTACTGGTTCAAAACCAGCGAGAATTCGTGATATATAATATAATGGCGACGCCAGTTATGGGATTGAGATATAAAATGTTGTGCTTTTTTAGTGTTTTAATGGAGACAATAAAACATCCGTTATGGCGCTTGATTGAGCTAGAGTGGCCTTGCACTAGTGATTACTACTAGTGATTAAAATTAGTGTTGTTTGTTTAGTATAATTTTAATAATATAATAATAATAATTAATAAACATTTATTTATTATAATTTTAATAATTTTTAAAATTCGTGCAGAAAATGAAAAAGTAAGATTCAAATGTAATTAAACAAATACTGTTAGCAGCTAAGGTATGAATATTGTTTCAGAAGCGTCAAGATCTAATCTAGCTGACCAAGAGCCCTTCACCAACTCTGGTTTGATTTCAATGCATGTTAAGGTAGTTGCAAAACACGGATTACATGCGCAACATTATGTGAAATGCATCACTGGATACGATAATCAAGAGTTCAACTCTAACTAAATAATCTAATGATTCTAACTCAGCATTATTTAGTAATTCAATAAGTCTGAGATGGCTTTAATTAGAAACAAAACTTAACAAGCTCAGTCAAAAAACTGATTTAACAAAACAATTTATTTTTTTAATAATTTTTTTAAACTCTTCTAAATTAATATAAAACTCTGAGTAATTCAACTTCGAATTAATATTAATTATTACTTAATATTACTCACATTCATACTTTGAAAATTCACACACCCATATATTATAATAATTTAAACAATAATATCAGCAGCAGTAATAAAATAAAGCAAAATTAATTTATTGATAAAATAAAAAATATTTTTTCTAGAAAACCTCTAATAAACCGTTTTCAACGTCGAAAATTTGCAATATTTTATAGATCATATTATATATGTGAATAATAACACAGCTGCAAATAGACCATTTTTAAAGTTTACGGAATTTCTTATGTCTGTTTTTGCCGAAAGCATTACATATATGAAAAGGCATGTTTATGGTTTGTTTATATTTAAAAAGGTGGCGTTTTAAATGGTAAATAATTTCTTTTAATTCTTTTTATCATTAATGATAAGTTTTATTTGAAATATGTGTATATATTTATATACATTTAATCTTATAAGGTAGAATACATTGGTAATAAATTCTACATTGGTAGAATTGGTATTCAATATCTGAATTATTTTGCGATCTTGTAGTAACTGAATATTGTGTTCAAGAACAGATAATTATTGTTTAATATTGTTTAAATATAAATTATAAGCTTATGCTAATTTTGTGAACCTATCAATCTGACCTATATATTTCGGATTAATTTTACTTTTTATTGCAACGAAATCGGAAACACAAAGGTTTTTAATTTTTTCCATATCCATAGACTTGTGTAACATTATAACCCCTTTATACCCTTATCAATTCGTGATTCCGTAGTAATTTTTGCAATCTTTGAAAAGGTGAAAAGCAAGCAATATTATTTTAAAAAAATTAAGCAGTAATTATCATGAATCTTGACATTTCCTTGAAATTGTCTTATGATCATCATTATCGTCGTGGCGATCCTAATCTTATCTTAGCCTACTTAACAAATTGCCTCCATGTTTTTCTGTCACTTGATATTATTTTCCAGTGTCTTCAACCAAATTCTTTCGTCGTTCGTATGTCATCTACTAAGTGTAGATTTAGCCTATCTCCTCTACTTTGGCATTGTATCCATTGTCTGAATATGTCAAGCCCTCTAAAGTTTTTGCAAATTTAATTGGTTTGCTATACTCTATACAATACTTCATAACTTTGATTTATATGTAATTTAATCGGTTGGCTACTTGAACCCTGATCTGAAATCTGGATTACGAGAACATTTTTTTTTCTTTATATTAATTATTCTATAAAGTCAACAAACTGCTTAAACATCAATAAATATGTTATACTTAATACCATTTTTAAATTTCAACAAACTTTATTAAGAGGTATTTTAAGAGGCGTTTCTGTTTAAGGGAACATTAAGGGTCCTTTATAGTAAAGTTTATATTTTATAGTCATTTTATTATTTCTTATATAGCAAATAATAGCATCTTTACTTATCTAACAAAACAGTTCGGAACTAAGAAATGCAATTAAAGTTTGCTTTTTAACCGATTCCTCAATAAGTTTATTACTATGAAAGTAATTATTGAAGTCATTATTGTATAAATGTATATTATTACTTTTTTGTTTATACTAAAAATATTTAGAGCACTAATTCTTTATTTAACAATTGTATACTTGACAATACTTGATTTTCACAGAATGTTGTACTACAAAGAATACAGAAAAATTATCAGATAATATAGTGGCAAAACAAAAAATAATATTTGCCTGGAAAATTAATGATCAGATATATACAACAAAAATATTTGACTATATTCTTACTGCGAATTAAATAACTTTAATGGAGTCGAATAGGTCACGTGTTCAAAACATTCAGAATGGAACATCTTCAACATTTTAATGAATGTTCCAAGATTACTATCTTCGCTCAAAAATTTCATATAATATGAAACAATATTTGTAAAATATATAATTCATTAGTAGTAAATTTAAAAAAGATCAAGAAATTCTTTAAGAACAAATATTTCTGTAACTTTTCTTTAATGAAATGATAAATTTGAACATTAAAAGTCAAAGTTTATTATTAAAGTCTTCAATAAATCTTCAAAAATATTTAAATAACTTTAAAAATCAAAACAAAGCATTAACTTTCTTTATTGTTAACACATTTCTTTATAATAATTAATTTAAAATGGTATTCGTGGCGTAATTTTTCAATTACGATAAAAATTTGATGATAATGTGTAGAGTAAATATATAACTATACATAAGCAAAAGTACAATAAAACAAATAGTCAGTATAGAATACTTATCAGTTTGAACATTTAAAAATAAATGAATAACATTGCAGTAAAAGAAAACAATTCCGACGTCTGATAAAAATTCATATTTGTTAAATTTCTACAGGTAGATAGGTAAGGTAGGCCAGTAAAAACACATACAAATTGCTTCGAACTAAATTTTATTAATAAATAATCAGAAATCTGTGAAGCGTACGCGGCAACGGAACCAAACATAATTTATTTCCGACATGCTTTATTAGTAGTCATTGTTATCATTCCGTAAAAAAGATATATATGTCAATGTCCATAAATGAAATGGAACAAGGGAAAATGTTTTGGGTGTTTTATTTAGAATTACTATAGCTCGACAGTAAGCTTGCAATTCATACAGCTGTAAAGCTATTACTGCCATTTGGATAGTGGGATTTAAACATAATAACGATACTATTTTATGATGGGAATTTACAACTGGTTATGTAGCACATACTTATCATTGTTCAACAAATATTATTTGCATTAACAGGTTGAAGCTATAATTATCCAACAATGATACAGTTTTAAGATATATTATCGATAGACAAAGATGATAGGCTATGAACAATTTTCAAAAGCATATGTGATTAGTACCTCACATACATTAAAAGAGTGATTTTATGATCCATCAATGACATTAATATTAATTTATGTGCCGTTATCAGGTAAAACACCATACTACAAGTGCGGGTCTTAGTAACTGTTATATCCAATGCATGATGTAGCAATATTCATCGTCTACTGTATTTAACATAATTACACTATAATGAGTATCATAACTTATTATTGCTTAATCATGCATTGGCATAAGTCTATATATTATATCATAGGTAATTTGATTGTTAAGGGGATCAATTTGCAATCACAATTTAATTGACATTATTAACATTGAAATAACTGTGACTAGTAATCACTGTAAAATATTTATCTATATTTACAATTATGAAAAAATAAAGTTACAACAAATTATTTATCTTATGGCTAGACATCTGCATAGACTTGATCTGAATATTGATCTGCTCAAAAATATACAAAAAATCTACTAGTAAGCTGATTTAGCTAAAGCGTAACCTGCTTAGTATCGGTGCTGACAGTTCACTGCGCACTAAGAAAACATATTATGAGACTAGGTCTATCCTATAATGACTTTTGTTGGGGTTACGGCTTTGCAAATGAGGAAGCAACTCTGTTTCACGTCATGTGTTAGTGAAAAAGCTGTCATCTTGCAATTAGGAACTATATCAAGTTTATAAACTCGTCAAGTTGATTCAACTTCACTTCAATGGGAAAGTCGTGTTTTTAAGCATTGCTCGCAAGTTGACTATTGCCATTCCTTTTGGAATCTTTCTGGTCTGCGTATAAACAATGCTAATCTATGGTGTTACAACGGCTCAATATTTGAGCAAAAATTATTTAACTGGCTTGAGAAATAAACTTTCAAGGTTTAAATTTTGGAGCTAATCTAGAGAAATCAAATTACTTTCACTATACAAATTTATAGTGAAAGTAAACACGTTTTTCCTTGGAACTCACAGTTATTCGAAGCAGTTAAATATACAAAAAGAATCAGTTCGAAATATATATATATTTTTATTATGTAAATAAAATCATACTAATATTAATTGGCATAATGAGGTAGATATATTAGAAGTAAAACTAGTATGATACATTTTAATATAGAAATGTTTACCTATTAAAACTATGAAATTAAAATCACATATTGATCTTAATAGAGAATAAAGAAAAAATATTAAAATGCTCCATCATTTTTAACTTTTAATATTGTTCATTTTTAAGGATTATAAAATAAAAAACTAATAGTAAACAATTGCTAGAAAAAATTTAGAGAAAAAAAACTATTTAAGTATATAATAAAAAAAGAAGTGGTGTCTGCAAAGAAACTAAAAACTTTTCAATGGTCTTGAGCAATGCTGAAGACACTAGCGATTGGGTATGAGTAATCATTTAATATTTTATACTTTTTGTTTTTTTTTTTGGCTTTTTAGTGTGTGGGAAGTTGTGAATTGATTTTAAATGATTTTGTTAATTAAAGAAATAATATTATATTTGATAGATTTCGTGGTTTTTTACCACGAAAAAATATACTTTTTAATGCAGGTATACTATGTATGCTGTATAAACAATATAATATAATGTTTATATAATATATAAACAATACAATATATAACAATATAATATAAATATAACGATATATATCCTAAAATAATATCTATTATTAATAATTTATTTGTTTTTAATAATTTATTTATTTTTAATAATTTATTTATTAAATTATTATTACAAAAAAAAATTAAATTATTTATTAAATTAATGTATAGGAATTCCAAAATATGTGAACGTTTTTTGGCTTTTTTTTGTATATATTAATATAGTTATACCTATTATTCGTATATTGGAACAGTCTAAGTATTATCTTTAGTTTTATTATTTTATATAATTTTAGTTAGTTTTTTATATAGTCATATTAGTGCATATTGTTGAATTATAAATACTTGCAAGATTAGTTGTCATAAAATCACGCTCTAATAAAAATGTCAAACAATTTCGAAACGTTTAAAAAATATATAAATTAATAAATATATAAAAACAAAGCCACTGTTTTTATAATAAATATATATGTCTTTATATAAATATAATTAATAGAAAATAAACCCAAAGCATTCGAGTAAGTTTCAAATTATTTCGGTCACTCGCTTTTTACCAAATTTAGATATTACCCATAATGTTTAGTTTCAATATAAGACCAATTTAAGTTATTAACTAATTTTATCAATATATTTATTACAATGTGTTTAATATTTTATTGCTTAAATAATTTAACACATAATTGTTATAATAAATTGTAGTTTGAAATGTGTACGCGAAGTAAATATGGCATAAACACAAATATGTGCGTGACATATTTAACAAAAAGAAAGACCTTGAAAAGTTAATAGTTAATGTTCAGCTTAATATAATTTTAAAAACTTTAAATATAGACTATTATTTGCACCAAATTTTTTTAAATTTATAATAACTACTAAGAATTAATTAAATTGGTACAATTGCACTTATGCTAATTAGGGTGGGTGTGTGATGGAATGTCTTCTATTACCTTGACCTAACACTCGATATCAATTTAACAAATATTAAAAACAAAAAAGGTATTATTTATATAACTTTTTAATATTATTAACTTACACCATGTCCGCCAATTCGCGCACTTTCCACATCGATATGAATTTATCAACCATTTTGATGTTATGCTATTTCCTGCTTAGAACTTTTTCACTAAATTTGCAAAGGTTTTGTTGTATTTTTTAACTTGTTCTACTTCTACAGTTTCTTTTTAATTGTATTTCTTTACACAAAATACAATTGCAATTAAGAAAATAAAATTTAACCAAAAATTTAGAAATAACTTTTTGCAAAATTATTGTAAAACTATAAAAGAAAAAAAGTTTTGGTGATTTGGCTTTTGTCTGTCACCATAAATTCTTTGCAACTAGTCTCTAGTAAGTTAAGTTGGTTGCGATTGAAGCTGTCAAGTAAAATTTTTATGAATTATCTGGTATTGTGAATAGTCATTAAATTGAATTTTGCATTCTCTTCTACATGTATATATCTGTAGTAAAATTTTTATGGAGATTGATTAATGAGAATAATATCATATTTCCACTGCCACTACTTATATTAATGAAATTATAATTTTTCGTTTCTATTGGCATAAGTTGGTTTATATATGTGATTTTGGTAATTTCCTTTGTGGGAAATTTATTTTTAGGGTGTTCATTCGATATTTTTGAATCAATTGATTTAGTTATAATGAGCTCATTTCTATGAAAGGACTTTATATGGTAAATTGTCCTCATTAGCGGCCTTAATAAACAGAGCTACCAAATTTGAGACAAGTCGAAATATGTTTATGTAAATGAACAAAGACAAAAAAGAATTTTGTTTTTGTAGAAATATTTGAAATTTTTTTGTAGAACAATTTTTTGCTTACTGATGAAAGAAATTTTAATTAATGAAACAATTTATACTATGTTCAGACAACCAAATTTGCTTAATTTATTATTCCTTATTATTCCTTTATTATTCCTTTATTATTCCTTATATTATTCCTCTGCGAAGTTTTAAAACTTGATTATTATAACTATAAAGTATGGCATTCAGTAGACTTATTAGCTTTAATGGATTTTAGGTATGTAAATTATTATTTTTCACTCTATTTTAAATTAATAACAGTAATAGTTTTTTCTCTATATAAAAAATTTAAAAATTTGCATTACTTTCTAAATATTTTCTCGGTTTTATTAAAATCAGCTATTTTTAAAAATATATATTACTTTTTTGTTATCTCAACTTATCTTTTGCTTAAAATTTACCTTTCGCATAGTTGCATCTGAAATTTCCCTTAATATCAGCCTTCATTTTTACAAAATTAAGGCCATTTTCCTTAATTACGTCCTAACCTTGAAACTGAATTTCATATGAAAAAAATCACTTAATTTCGCTGAAACGAACACGAAATTAAGATTTAAGCAAAACTAAGGCGTTTCTGAACATAATATTAATCATTCATATAATACTACCGAAATATTTTTATTGTAAAATATTTATTATAATTTTTGTACAAATTGTAATAAAAAACTAATTACTCTACATAAGCAGACCAAATTAATATTCAGTTAATAACCTAATAATAATTATGTTCTTGATTTCATATATTCGATTCGCTGCATTAAAAACATAGAGGGTGTTCACGCTGTCTTGCAAACTCATTGCAAGGTACACCCATGTATATATGCTTGCAACGAAACAAAAAATTAAAAAAAAAATTGATGTTTTGACACCTGTTGCTTCTTATGCGGATTTGGTGTGCAGCAAAAACAGCTGTTTCATATTGTTGTTGCAATTTTCCAACAGATGTGTTCTTGCACTCTTGCAATTTTAGTATCGCATTCTTGCATTTCGTACACCTTACTATGACTTTGCAAGACAGAGTGAATATCCGTAATATTTGTTGCAGCTCTCAGTGCTTTCAATGTGTTAACTTACATTAAAGCAACAGCATATGTTGTGATAGACGATCAGTTGGTTATTTGCATAATAATGCTCTTATTAACCATTTAGTAAATTAAGAATGTGTTATTGTGAATATTGTGCAAAATGTAAGAAGCAGAGTGGAGCAGCTGATCACCCCGTGGAAATAATTTTGCCGATTCAATTAATAATAAAGTAAATTTTTTGAAATAAAAGTGATACCAATATTAATTTAAAATTAATTTATATACAACTAAATATGTATTATATTTTGCATATTAAACAGTTTTGTTTATAACATTCATGATGTTATGATAAATGTTTATACATGTAAAGGTTATGTAAAAGATTCTCTTATTTGCAGTTAAAAAATTTTTGATGAAATGTTTGGTCTACAACGTTTTACAAACACTATCGGCACAAAATTATTCAGAAGGGCAGTTGTGTACAGTAGCAGTAGTACAGTCGCACGACCAGTCGCTGCTTGCACGGCAGAGAGAGGTATTGAAACTGTAGCTCCTAAAGATGATGTCACAAATGAAACATCTCCCGGGACTAAGAAAAAAAGTAAGATCTTCATATAGAAGTCAAATTTTACAAAACCAACTTTTTACTTATTTAGGTACACTTGTAGCAGCTGCTTTCGAGTCATTGAAAAATTCCGATGAAAATAACACAGAAAAAAGCACACCCACTCCAATAGACAATGTTATAAATGAAAGAATTATTAATGCAAAAACTGTTAATGGCCTTTTGGCGATTGTTGATGGCGATAAGACAATAACAAGAACACATGCTTTTAAAATTGTATCGATTTTATCCGAATGGAGCTCTATAAATAAAGTTAAAATTTCTGATTTTGAAAATGATTCTCGATTTTTGCGCGTTTGTCGTTTACTCGGACGTCATACATCGAAAGCTTCTAATGTTAATAATACAAAAGCTATAAGTGGGTTTCGGACGGATGACCTCAATACAGTGCTTGGTGTAGCAGGCGACGATGAAGCAGCTAAGCTCATTGCTAGTATAAGTCTACCGCAAATGGTTAAAGTTATGAGTGCTTTGGCATCACGAAAACGCAGAAGTACACCTTTGTTAAGGTCACTTGCATTCAATATTAGCAGTTCAACAGAACAATTGGATCTAAAACAATGTGCAGATGTGTTTTATGCAATGGCAACATTAAATTTTCAAGATTCTGTACTGGCTGCTAAATTATGTTCTGACGTACTCGCAACTTTAAAAAAAAATACTGAAAAGTCTGCGGTGGTCGGTTCAATATTGACAAGTTTGGGAATACTTAAATATCGCGATTTAGGTAAGTAAAATGTTTAAATATTTAAATAGTTTATTAACGAATAATAATTATTTATGATATAGATATTCTTGAAGCGCTTACGCAATGGATTTTGACAAATCAAGAAATATGCCGACCTCAAGATCTCAGCGCATTATTTTTGACTTCAGCTTTGTTAAATTTTAGAACCATGGATATTGAAAATGTGCGTAGCAAACTAGTCAAATCTATAGTAAAAGAGGATTTTCCAAAACCTAGCGACTGGCTTAATCATGTATGGGCATTGGCTTTACTAGATTTGATAAATAACAACCACTTAGAATCAGTGCTTAAGTGAGGAAATTTTTTTATTATTGTTACTTTATTTATACTTTTTTTTCTAATATAGTTCCAAATTTCTACAAACCTTGACCGCAAAAAACAATTTATCTCCTACAAGTAAAATGAAGCTATTAAATTTAAACAGTTATGCGCAAATATTAGCAAACAATTACAAGGGTTCCCTGCTTCCTGCCGATAGTGATATATTTAATGTACCAATAGTGCATAGTAAAACAAAAACAATATTACTTAATGGTATGCTTGATGCACTGAAAAGTTTACTACCCGCAAATAACCATTTTAATAGTCTAGTTGATAGTAAAATGGGTTTTTTAATCGGTTAGTATAATGAAAATATTTTGAGCTGCTATTCAAATAAATAAATATATTCATTATTTCAGATGCTGTATGTATATTTGATGAAAAGCGCAATCCATTGCCATTGAATACAGATAACCCTAATAGCAAAAGGTAAATATATTTTATTAAATCAATAAAAATTTTTAATTAAATGAGATTCTCCGTACAGAGTTGCGCTTATGGTTATTGACTATCACGACTTATGTCACGGTGCTCATCGCTCTTTTAATGGCATTTTGTTTTTAAATTTTAACCTTCTGGAGAAAAGTGGATATAAAGTCATACCTATTCCGCATAATGAGTTCAATACGAGCGATAAGTTGCTGAAACGTGTGCAGTATCTAGAAACAAAGTTCAAAACGTTAGTTAGTAAGAGGGCCCAGTAAATTATGTTTTATAGAACATTTTTAATTCACAGAAAACTATTAAATAGTTTTGAAAAATTATGTTTGCCTAGTTCATTTCAAATTAAGTTAAATATATTTTATTTTGTAAAATATTTCAATATTTTTTTCTGTCCCACACAATTGTATGATAGTTTAATATAATAATTATATTTAATAATTTGTTTTTTATGATTATGTTTATTTATATTTTATGATACAATATTGCTCGCCTAACATTTGATTGAAATAGAGAAATTAAACAAGAATTTTTACTTAGTGATAATTTACTGTATTTGTAATGAGAAATTAACATTATATTATTATTGTAAGAATTACTCTTGGTTTCTAATTTCTATTGATCTTGAATCAATGTAATAATGGATATTGATATTTAAAGGTTTAGTATTCAAAGAAATTTTCTCCAAGAGTAGCCAAGTTCTGAAAAGCTTTTCGACCTAACACGTGTCTACTCTGTATTTCTGTACGTAGTTTTTGATTATATGTTTTCTCTAGATCGTTAATGTTGTAATGGTTTTGAGTTTCTGTTTCTGTTAGACAAATGCAATTCCATGGGGACCACGGTTCACGTATATTCCAACGCGGTAAGCTAAGTTGAATTTATAATGAAAAATAATTATAAAAATGCACCAATATATTAAGGCAATCCATTTACCGCAATATTTGTAAATCATTGCATTTACTTAAAATTGAATATCCATGCCAGATTTTCTCTATCAAATGACGTATGTCGTCAACTTGCATTATGAATGCGTATGAATGAGGAGAGCGCTTTTGTCGTTCGTCTCGTTGTAAAGCTCGTAATATTGAATTGTAAATATGCATATTACCTGCTTTAAACTATATTGTCAAAATAGAAAAATATTTCTTTTAGTTTTGATATCATTGTTTTAATTAATATATTAGCAACCTTAAGACAGTAACAGGCGTTGCATGAATTTAGTTTCTCTTCCCGTGTTCGTACAGCAAATTGACTTAACGGTTTCACTTTCTTACAGAAATCACACATATTCCTAACAATTTCTGCAAATTACATATAAAAATAAGCAGTCAATAATAATAACATATAATAAATAAACTCATATGGGTATTTCAATTACCTTTGGGTTTTCTATCCTTGGAGAATTTGATAAGCTCAAGGAAAAGAAAATTTTGTCGTTTATGCAAAGTTTCCAGATCTATAACTCTTGTATAGATTAGAATATTTTTTTCACGTTCAAATAAATCAAAAAGCTTTATATTTAAAAAAATAGATATTTTCATGAGAAAAATGAGATACTTGCAATGAAAAAAAGATTTTTTTTTTCAAAATATACCTCTGGAAGTTTCTGAAAATCCTGTTCCTCAACAAGTACATTTTTTATTTTACTTATGAGTTCTAAACGCTTTTCCTTTTTCATAGGCTTTTTTAAGTCCTTGTAAATTTCATGTAAGAAACGTACACGCTGGTGTCGTAAAAGATCAAGATGAATATTTGTATCTATAGGTATGTAAAAAGACAGTTTATTTATTAGTATATATCATATATTATAGTATATAAGACTGCCTTCGCATATTATGAATGCAGTCTTTTCAAAAGAAAATTAGTAAGGTCTAGATAACAAATTGATAGATAGTTAGATAATGTATAAAGTCAGTTACATATTGTGTTTTCACATAATGATTGATAATTACATATTAAATAGCTTTTGTAAAGATATGTTAAATACCTTTATAACCAATCCACTCTATTGGTTGTCCCATTTTATTCAACAACTGCTCCTCCCTGGAATCTTGCATAGCCTTACGTATAATTTGCTTTTGACGTTCGATTCCATTTAAGAGACCAATCTCTTTATCCAGTAATAAATTGAATTCTGCTATACGTGCAACGCCATGGTGCATCTGACTTATACGTTTTAACTCTGCTTTTTTCCAATTATCCACTTCCGTATAAAGTAAATCAAAATCTTCTTTGGTTTGAGGAAATTGTTTTACACGATCGGTACGTTTTATATGTATCTGTTCAATCTGTTCGTTTAGTTTATGTTCAGCTTGTAAGCGATCGGCAACCATATGACTTTAGGTCGCGAGGTAAAAGAACAACGTGAAAAAAGAATTAATCTGACAGACTCTAAGATCAGATTCTCTTACCGATATTCAGCCGCTGCTCTTCTGATGAGCCGCACAAGTAAATACCGTCGAAAATTCCGTTGAATTAATATTATTTTCTTCAATTTATCATCTAAACGTTTCTTTTGGTAATATGTTTGAAATTTTCGGGGTGTTATAGTAAAATCCTTAGCATTTGATACGAAAAGAACATTTGAACCATCCTTAAAGCATTGAGTAGTTTCATTGTTAGGTGTGATCTGTAACGAAATTTGTGAATTAATATATTTTTTGTATAACTATTGTGGTATAACATTTTAAGTCCAGATAGTTCTAATTATATTAAAAGAACAAATGCACAGTCTTTAAGGGGTTTATACAAATATTTGTGTAGTTTAATTTGTTTTTGGGAAAAGTGAGCCACTCGTAATCATCTTGCTTCTAAACGTGACCTATAATGTGAACTATAATGTTAAACTAGAAAAAGTGACTTTTTGTCATTATAGGTGTGTGATTTATGGAACCAGCAAAGACAGATGCAGTATATAGCTTTCAGTAACAATAAATTTACAGTCACTGCTGGGTATTAGACTTCTATATCTTTTATGCAGCAAATTTTGACTTACTAGTTTTGGATAATTATAATTCGTTTGTGTGTCCCTGCTAGAGTAATTTCCGTTTTCCCATTTATCACAATTAGGTGGACCTGTTTGAGTAAAAGCTTCCACATACTCAATACCTGTAAATATATATGAGTTATTTATTATAAATAATACATTTTTGTATTAGAATGTAATATTATAACATCTAAAAATGAAAGTGGGAAAGCAAATTATATTAGTCTTTTAATCTTTGTGAATCTAGAAGAAAATTAATCCAGAAGACATGAACTCAGATTTTTTGAATAGAGCAATCTATGCCAAACTAATGATTGGATCGTTAATATAATTTTATATAAGACATATTTATAAATATATATAGTATATTATAGTTAATAGTGTCAAATTAATCTAGTCTGAAGAATCAAGTATATCTGTTAATTAATTCGACTAATGGGAATGAAGAAAGCTACAATGAACATCATTTATTACAATAATTAGTGAGCTCTTAAGCAAAATGTTATAACCAATTCTAAAGTTATTTTTAATTTTGTCTTTAGTATTATTATTAATATTTTACTCAAAATTTATGTTCATCATTTAGGAACCTATAAGTTCCCTTGATTTCTGAATACAGAATACAGTGAAAAAGTATGAATGTCTAGCAGCCGAAATTCGACTTTTTAAATGACGGTTAAAATTTTTCTCCTTGATACTTTGTTGATTCTCACCACAATATATTAGGAATTCGAAGTCTCTTTCCAGTATGCTCCTTTTAGCACATTTCACAGCCAGCTCATCAGAAAGTACGCACCTTCGGTATTATCTTTCAATTAAAAGCTACATCATGTTATCTTAGAAGGAAATATATAAAAAAATACTCGGTTTTTAAATACTTCTATCTTTGCAATTTTAATCATAAGCCGATATACTAGTCAAGTAATTAGTTTTGTATATTTTCTGTGTGTCCTATATAAAATATATATTTTCATTATAGCAAAAGTGTTATATGGTGTATAACTAATATTAAAGATTCTGATAATTTTATAGAAATTTAAGTGATATTTGTAATAATATACTGCCTGATTTAAATACTATTAGTATTATGCCTATAAAACTGCTAACTGCTTGCGTGATTCTCTTTTCTCCATGGATCAGAGTTATCGTACTAAAAAAAGAAAGTGGATTTGAAGACTTTATTTGTTTAGAGAAACCCCCAAGCTATCAAAGAGTAAAAGTGCCCAGATGCATTAACTCGGAAAAAACTCAACTTGAAGAATTGATTGTAAAAAAAAGTTAAATTTAATATTATGAATCAACTCTTTGATAGCTGAAATACTACAGTTTAAGCCTTCCAACAGATATGTTTATATTAATTTTCAAATGAATATCAGTACAAAACTTACCAGTTATTTTATGTCTATAACGTGCTAACTCAGGTTTATCTATTGCTTTATTCTGTATTTCAATAACAATATCTTTTGGATTTCCATCTCTTGAATCCTCACCGGATATATGTACTGTTATAAAATCCGGTAAATGGAATTTACTAAATAAATAAGAAACATTTGATTGATATTTGAATATTTGAGAAATAAATAACTTACTTATAGTACACATTTAGATCTAATTTAGCTGGTTTAGATTTTGAATCCCATCTACTTGATTTCTGTAGTTTTAAGCAAAATTCATATATGCCAAATTCATTTTTATTAGTTTCCATAAGTAAACTACTATCAGCTACTTCGGCTTCATGCTGCATTACACATAAAACTTCTGGAGTTATTTCAAATTTACGTGCCAGATCCTTCTTAATATCCATTATGGTAAGACGATTAGGATAGATTTGTGCAATAATTTGTGATTCAGAAATCCGAAATTTAACAGTAACATTTTCAATCTGCACAATTTCTTCATCGAATTGACCACTAGATGAAGTTCCATGCTCTATGCAGGTATTTGTACTACTATTCACTCTGGGACTTTCCATCATTAATTAAAACTAATTTTTTATTTTAAATTAAATCAAAACTGTAAAAACTGTTTTTTCACACTGTGCAATCACCTAGCCTAGTATATATTCGTAATTAAATAATTAAACTTAATTTGGTCAATAGTGTTGCTTAGTGCAGTGTTTGGCGTTTGGTTAGAAACAATGGAAGTTCGGTTTCCATGATAGCTTTTTAATGAAATCATATTTAGTATTATATATAAACACTTCTATAGATTGTGGCACAATTCAGTATAAAGGTCTTACAGCTCTAATTCAAATAGGTGTTTCTAAGGAAATCACACATAACCTATTTATGATATTCATATGTAGTAAATGCGAATTTTTTGCAGTTCAAATTTTCGGTATTTATTTCAACTTATGGGATTTTTAAGTAATACCTACTTTTAAGAGAGATTTATTATTATTAATATGACAATCCTACCACAAAATATATTGTCACTTATATATGTGAAGGGTCAATTGTACCATTGGAAAAATTCTTTCTCGCCATCTTAGCCATCTTTAACGAACCATATTGTTTCTAATTCAATCCTTCAAAGATCAATTGTACCGACTTGAGCAGTTTATCAGATTCTTCATCAGGAAACATGAAATTATCTAAATTCGAGATGAATTTAGTCTGAAAGAGGAAACCGGAACAGCAGTCTCAAATTTATTGCATTATCCGAAAGAGTAGTAGCGTCTCTAACTAGTTTATCTGCTCTACTATTTCTCGCGAAACTCCAATTACTTGCAGCCCAAATAAGTTGGCATTTGTCTCATATAGACATGAGAGACACAATACCACGATGATCATGATCTCATCTCTACAGTTATGATGTTGTTTTATGGATATAAAAGTAACTAATGAGAAAAGAAAAAAAATAAATAAAAGTTTACGAGTATATAATTTCTTTATAAGAGTTGTTATTATATAATTTAGGTTGTTGCTTTAGATTTTAAAAAATATTGGGTAATGTTTTGAAAAGAATTCAAAATATATATATTATCCTAAATTGAGTTACTGTTAGTGGGTTGGACCACTCATGTTATCGAAGATTTGAAAAAGATTTGAGTTATAAGAATCAATGCATATTTCATGAATCTTTCGCATGGATTATGGCTTATCTGAAAACAGGTCAAAGGATATTTTTTTAATTAAAATTAAAATAGCCGAAAATAGGCCAAAGAATATTTCTTGAATTAAAATTAGATTATGAAGTAGATCGAGATAAAAATATTGATTTTAAGATACCTATGCTTATTTTGGTATATTAAGTTCTTAAACTTAATAAAAAATATATGATGACGTCATAAACTAAACATAAAATTTCTCACTAAATAATTGTAATTTTTATATTATAAAATTTCTAAATTAAATTTTGAACTTTCTCGAAGAGATTTTTCCATTTCTTCTCGATTATTAAGTAAAAATAAATAATTACTATTTTTTCGCAAAATACTGATTCAAGTAAAAACAAACTAAACTTCAATAAGCACGAGATTGTACTAAATTAGTTTTTAATTAAATTGTTTACTTTCCAAACTTTACACGATCGGTTTGACTTTATCAACCTTTAGGACATCTGTAAACTTACAACATTTTCAGTATTTGGGTATAAAAAAAAAATATATACCTAAAACTTAATTAAAAATATATTAAAAAGAATTATTTTTTATTTTAGTTAATAAATAAAATTTTTATTAAAATACAATTTCGATTTGAGATTTTGTGGCGTTATTTGATGTTTCGGCTTCGCATGCGCCACCTGCAGTCTGAAAGGGCGCCCATTAAAAAGATAATCACCGCGTTGCAGTCTATGCAATTTACTTTCACCGTTTGTGCCTGAAACTGCTGTGTCGATGCGATTATTCTTATTAATATTAGAGTTGCCGCTCGTGCTGGACATTGTGCTGGAGTCTACGTTCACTAATGGCTTGACAGTATTTGGATACGTTGGAACAAATGGCATATAAGGTTGATAATAATGATGATGGTGATGATGATGTTTCTGTGAAGCTCCGCCAGCAATTGGATATGTATCTTTCATAATCGGATTTATTTTCATTGGTTGATAATCGTAGCCCACGCCTGCTATATATCTGTATGGTGATGGAGGTATGGGAATGTAATAAATTCTCGAATCCTTCTTTGTTTTCTTCTGTTTTAAGCCGCTACTGTATTTACGTAAGCTTAGCGGCTTCGATGAGACAATAAATTCTTTATAGATTTTCTCCATAAGGGGACTTTGGTAAATTACTTTTGATGCTAATGATGAAGTGGGTGGGTGTGATGTATCTGCTATGGCGTTGGTATTTGTGACAAATGCTTTAACTAATAATTTCGGTGCTCTTCCACTGGCAAGAATTATTGTAATCAAGATAAGATTCATTTTATTTAATGATGGCATACTGTAATGAAATAAATTTATACATGGATTAGTTAAAATAATATGCGTATTAAAATCAAAAAATATTTGGCTGTGATTAGAAAATATTGTATTATAAAAATTCATTCTACTTAAATTAAAAAATATTATATATTATAAAAATTTATTCTACTTAAATTAAAAAATATTATACATATATTACAAAAATTTATTCTATTTAAATTAAAAAATATTATATATCACAAAAATTTATTGTACTTAAATTAAAAAATATTATATAATAATATAAAAATTAATTCTATTTAAATTACAAAATATATTATATAAATTTATTCTAGTTAAATTAAAAAAATTTTATATTACAAAAATTTGCTCTATTTAAATTAAAAAATATTATATATCACAAAAATTTATTGTACTTAAATTAAAAAATTTATTGTACTTAATTTTAAAAATATATGTTTTTGTTATAATACTAGTTTTTATTATTATTATTTTTTTTTTTGATTTTAAGAAAATATTGATTTATTGAACTTTAATTATTTTGTTTTACTCAAGACTTCTACTGCACTTAAGCCTCTTTTTAGACAGAAATTCACTGACTTTGTGGATTGTATTCAAATGCTTGAACGCTAACTCTCCGTTCAATATTTTGATAGTACAGCCAGCTGACTTTTTAGCTTCCTGTTTTATAATCAAAATCTTTCTTAGGGTCTTTAGTCATTCAATTTAAAAAAAATTCTTTTTGTTTGAAAACGCGGTATTATAACGTCTAAGAGATAAATTGATTCGTTTTGTCACTTTTTTATTATCAACTGCATATTATCTCTCGGATGTTTAAATCTATCTTCAAGATTTACCCGACAACTAAAAGTTTTTATATTATGACAAATGTTAATGCAATGGTGTTCTGCAAAAAAAAATCATTTCTTCTTTATCTTTAGGCAGAAATATTTATTATTTAATAATTTTTTATTTTTTCATTCTGTAATGCATACATTTCATTTGAAGTGAATTCTTTTAAAGAACACAAGAGCAGAAGAAGCAACTATGCACATGCAAAAACTATGAACAAATGATAACAACAAATTTGCAACAATTATGTTGAATTTTTTGCAATTAATTTATTTAAGTGGATAATGTAAAATAGTAGTAAATAATTTATAGAACTAAGACTGTCATGGCGAAATAATACTACATATGTCTAATATAATGTTTTGTGAGAAGGGTGTATTAAAATATAATCTAACTGTAGGTTTACATTATCCAATGTCGAGTAATAGGTGTAATTTTTTGTACAAAAGCTATACAAAATCTATAAATAGCGCTAATGAGGTCAGATAATACCTACTGAACGTAAACATAATGTAACTTTACTTAGAATTGAGAATATTTTCAATGCCTTAAATTAATTACTTTATTAAATAACATTACTTTTAACATTTTAATTTCTATATCCAACTGAAAATAATAGTTCGAGTTTTAAGCTGTTATTGCTAATGTGCTAGAGAAACTACTATCTTCCTTACTTGGTTTATTTAAATTACACAAATATATTGTATTAGATTTTACTACATTTCAAAAATGTGTATGATAAAATTTAATAGTTAAGAATCATCTGAAATTGTAGAAATGTGTTGAGTAATTTTATACATGCAGTTAGTTATGTATGTTTCTTTTTCTAAATATATGCTAAATTATAGAATATTATTATAAATTCGAATAATTAGTAAATTTGTAATTCTTGAATATTATAAATGAAATAAATGTATTATAAAAAAATTATAATTCTCATTTAGTGGAATTAATTGTAGTTATTAACATTGTTGAAATGCTATGTGAAATTGTTAGAGTCGGTTGTGCTTACCTATCTTACTTTAATATAATATCTTGTTGTTATTACTCACTTCAGCTTCCAATCTACCAAAGTACTCGTGGTTTTTATTAGTTATTATTGTTTATGGAAACGTACTGATGTTATAATTGATATCTACTTCTAAGTTTCAAAAATCTTTTATGATTATTATTAGTTATTATTGCAGTCTTGTAAGAATACAAACAAAACACTTACTTCTGCACTATATATAATATAATATAAATACTATAATATAAGTAATATAATATAAATAATATAATATAAATAAACACGAAATGTATTCGTTAAAAAGGGAACATAAATTCTAATTAAAAATATCATTATCTTTAAATCATTTGACTACTTGAAAAATAGATAGAGTTCTGGTGTGTGTATTGGTCTAGAGTGTTTCACTTGAATGGTATCATTAGGAACTGGGGGAAAAACCTTCAATCTGAAGTATAAATAAGTTGGATCTAAACTCCGAAACTGATGTTTATAAATTTTGTGAAACGAATATTGAGAACTTAGAACACATTCTTTCCGAGTACCCAGCTCTTGGTAAACAGAGGGTTCAAAATTTAGGAGACGTTGTTGTGCTTTTATAAAATTCTTAACAATGGATATTTTGAATTTAATTCTAAGGGCAGTTGCTAGCATAAAAGATTAATCATGGCTGCATTCCTTCGTTTCAATTGGACCCCTAAATACTATCGTATCTTTATTCTAATTCTGTATTAGACAATATATAAAATATACATATAATATAACAAAATATATACGTGTGTAAAAACTCAAGTAGTTGAAGCTGTTACTTTAACCATTTAATTAAATTTATTTATTATATCTTACTAAGCATTTCGAATTCACAACTATCTTAGATCTATTAATACTTGTAAAATGTATAATAATTATGAATACATTCATTAAGAGAATTTATTTTGTTATCTCCATATCACCTTAGAATGATGTATTGAGCTTTATGAATTAAATTTACATTTTTTTTTTATCTACAACAATTTGTAGTAAAAAATGTTCTCACGTTACATGCAAAAACAATTTTCTGTTATTTAAAAATCAAAAAATAAAAAAAAAATTTAAAAAAAAATAATATAGGTAAATATAAATAAATAAAAACTGAAAGAATAAATTGCTTATTTGTTCAAATTTGATTGATTCTAAATCAACCCATTAAAACGTGCGAGCGGACAACTCAAGTAGCAAATAAGTTCGAGCCCAGCAGCGTTTGCGGCAGTCAATGTACGCACTCTGCCATCTATAATTCGGCATCGGTGAGATACTTTGTGTACGGCGCATATCAAATTTCAGCGCTTATGTGATTACTGACTTTGATAAACGATCGATTTGAATCAATTTAAATTAACAAACAATTAATATCGGTAAGATACAAAATTATTTGGCAATTCATGCCCTTTTTTGCTGCTTGAGATACTTGGTGCTGAAATTGTTGACACGCCTTTCTGCTGCCAAACAAGTAATCACAGAAGTTAATTGAACGTAAAAATTTACATAAGTCAATATGTTTGTAAGTAAAGTCAAATTATGCAAATTATTTAGTCAGAATAATTCTTTTGCTTTGGCTTTAAAGTACCTCATCTTTCTTAATTCTTCTCAGTTGTGGCACGATTTATTGGTTGACTGGCTCACTTATGATTACTCAATATTTAAAGAACGGTTCCCGCGTTTCGCATAACTTATTTTAATTTTCAATATCAAATGATGCGTCTCTTTGGTGCAAGTCAACTGAGAATTTTATCTTGTTATTTTAACAATTTTACTGTTTTCTCGATTAAAGAATGAATTATATACTCATAGGTATGTATAGTATGTATACACGCAAAAGGTCATTTGCTCCGGACAGGTAACTATATACGGAGCATCGCAATTTGACGAGAGATTTAGTTGTTTCAGATAGAAAATAAATTTATTTATAACATAACGATTTGTTCTTAAAATTTTAATAATTACGGGTCCGCAATATGGTTAGTTTATCACCATAAAGTAAAAAGCGTAGATTGGAGAATAAAAAATACATAAAAATACTTTAAATTACTTTACAACTAATTTATTTATTATTAATTTAATAATTATTAATTTAATTTTTTGTTTAACATCAATAAATTTAGATAATCAATAATAATTTGGGAAAATACAATATTAATAACATAAGCAATTTATAGTATCCAAGCAAAAATTGGGAAACTTTTTGCAAGTCCAGGGCTATCCAGCGTATTATTGCAGATGTAATATCATGAATATTTGTTCGGTTCACTTCAACACTTTTTATTTTATATTTCTTTAATATTGATAATCTACAAAAAATAGACATGATTAATATATCATATGAAAGATGAACGTTCCTCAAAGAACGCTCCTGAAGAGCAAACTCTCTCCAATTTTTACGATTTCCGACTAGGTACCTGGTACTCCTCACCCACTGATAAATGGGTACCTTCTCCTGCCTTAAGGGTTTTATTAAAACATCATCTTCGTTACATCATGCTGAACTTTTCTCTCAATGGGTACGCTAATTCTGTTTTCTTCTTTTAATTTGGTCTTCTCTTATTAATTGGCACCGTGTTGGTCAGCTGTGTTGGAGATAATGTTTAGATAATGTTTAATGATTTCACATTTCTTCCTAAAGAAAAATTGAGATTGTGAAAAGCCATTGCTTAAGTTTTTCAAAAATGATACTACGAAATTCGTTGTACAATGGACAAATCATGGCTCTTGAAGACAAATGGGCTAGGGTAGTTATAAAAATGAACAGCAAGTAATAAAAATGAAACTGAAAAAAAAAACAACTGACAACTAGAAATACTTTTCCTTAAAATAAATATATTTTCATTTATTGTTCACATATATTACATATTATAATAGTAATAACGTTTTTCAAAAGTCCTGTTAAAATAGATATTAACCTTGATACTTTTGATTTGCTTCTGCGCACTATGTCAGAGGTTCTACATTTAGAGTAAATTGGCCATGTAGCCCTTGACCTTCCTGCTGAGGAAATATGAGTGCACTCCCTATTTACCTGTCGTAAAACATGGTAATAATTCAGTCTTCGGCTGTGGTCAAGAGAGTCGGAGATTGGAATAGGAGTTTCCATAGAACCAGGTAGATCTGCTTCAAACATATGTATA